TAATATTTTACTAATTTTAGTATTTTTAATTAAATAATCTGAAAATGTATTTTCATTTTGTAAATTATTTAAAAATAAAATTAAATTTAAACAATTACAAATAATTTGAATATCATAACATGTACATTCATTTAATTCTGTATTTTCTATAATTGAAATTATTATATTTTCACTTTCTTTTAAATATTTTTGTTGATTTTTTAAAAATATTTGTAAATTTCCATTTATATAATTTAAATTACCATTTACAATATAATATAAAAATATAAAATCTAAATTATTTAAATAAATTTCACTACTTGATGGTCTTTCTTGATAATATTTAATCATATCAAATAATATATTTCCAATTATAGGAATATTTAAATAATATTTAGATGAAATATTTTCTAATAATGTATTTATTTCTATTTTAGTAGAATCATTATATATATTATTATTTTGATTATTTGATAAACTTGTATTTAATATATTTTGATTATTTATAAATGTATTATTATTATTATTATTACTATAATAAGAATTATTATAAATATTTTTATTTTGATTAATAAAATTATTTTGATTATTATTATCTTCATAATAATTATTAAATATAACATCTATATCTTGTTTATTTAACATTGAAAATAATAAAATAAAAACAACTCCCATACTATATATATCTACTTTAGTTGTATATTCATTGGAAAATACAATTTCACTTGGCATAAAAATAGATGATCCTACTATAGTTGATCTTAATGATATCATTTCATTATTATTATTATTATTTATATTATTATTATTATTTATATTATTTAAATTATTATTTAAATTATTATTTAAATTTTCATTATTTTCATTAATAAATTTAGAAACATTAAAATCACATAACATGAATTGATATTGATTTTCATTAAATTTAGAATTAAAAATTAATTTAAATAAAATATTATTTAATTTAACATCTCTATGTATAATTTTATATTTTTCATGTAATTCAAATAAACATTCAATAGATTGTACAAAAAAGGAATATAATTCACCTAATGTAGATATTTCTTTTTTAATAAATTATCACCATATTCTATTGATGTATTATTATTATTATTAGTATTATTATTTAATGATGATGATGATGATGAATTGTTGGTTTTTGTTTGTTTAATTCCCATTATATTTGTGTTGATTCCTTTTTGAATGAATGAAAATAATACTGAACACTTTTAATTTCCTTTTAATTTCCGTTTGACAAATGGTAATTTTTTAAAGAACTTTTTATTGTTTTTTTTAATGTGATGACAATTGACAAATCAATATACAGTAGAGTTATTGACTGACAAAGTTGATAATTTTTTATTACAATTAATCTCTAACAAGTTAGATGGATATTAGATCATCATCATTAAATAATAAGTAGATTACTAAATTTGTTATTGTATGAGTTTTCTCTAATCCCGAATAACAAATATTATAATATTTCTTCATCATAGTCAAGTTTTTAATGGATTCATTAAAACTCCAATTAAGAAAATACAAATACAATTTAATTTTGATCAAACTCAATATTTCAAAACAACAATAGTTTATGATATAAGGGTTCAAATTCTGTCTACCTGTTGAGGTATTAAATTATCCTTGCTTTCCATTTTGTCTTCCATATTACTATCATTTTCACTATAGGGTTTTTCTCAGTGAAATCTGTTTCATTGACACCCTTGAACTTCTGAGGTAAGAATTTCATTCCCTGCAATCTTTTCAATTCTTGTGTTGCGAAATTGGAAGCATTGTTGGAATCTTCTGTTTTTTAGTAGATACTTCATTCTCTTGTAGATTTTCAATTTTTTCAATTGGAGAGGCTATGTCTGAAACTTTGGAGCTTCTAATAACTTCGTGAGGTAATATGTTTTCAACGATCGTTGAATCCATGTCTGCTGGTAAAGTTTCACTGACTTGTTGAGTAACAATTACTGGATCTGATTTCATTTCTTCAACATCACCAAATGTTAATTGGCTAACATCTTCCACCAGAGTGACCTTCTCTTCAATAATTACTTCGCTTTTCTCTTCAGTCGAATTTAATATCGTTGGAGATTCTAAAATATTTGATTTGTTATCATTTGAGGATTGAGATGGAGGTGTGTGAAATCTGAAGCAACTTTAACACTTCTCAAACCACTTTCTTTAAACCAGCTCTAGCCTTTAATAGTGGACCAAGGCTATTCTCGTCCAGATCCGAATAACTTTTAGATCTGAGAGTTGTCTCTTCTTCCCCTTTCATAAATTTCCCAATATCCCCTACATATTAATGAAACCAATTGTCTCTGCGTAAAACCATTCATAAAGTCTTCCTAGCAGGAATTAAAAATGGATAATCATATTCAATTATGTCTATTTGGGAACAAATCAGTTGCATTCTCATTTCTTTCCAATTCTTCTTCATAACATTGAACGGAAATATAGACTCTGTTCTATCTTCTTCTCAGCCTTTGCAAATCAATCCCATAAAGTGAAATAACAATTTACTGGATAAGTGAGAATGATGAAAATGAATTAGATAAGATGGGTGCTGAATTTCAGAATTTCATTCTGTTTAAAAAACACAATACCATGATCGCACTGCTCATGTACAACATCTCTAATAAATTCATTCAGTAAAGATATAAGAATGGTGTAAAACATTTCCACTTCATCAATCAACACTCTAACAATATACAAGGAAGTCATAAGGTAATTGTACAATAAATTCGGTTGATGATATGTTCTCCATCTGTACTATTTGTGATAATCATAAAATTGTTGATTCCAGTTAGAGTTCAACAACAAGAGTACTTGTTCAGAACAATAATGCAATTAGTTTTTGATGCTGCAACTATAACTGAACCCAACAATTACATCAAAGCATTAATATGTAGAGTAACAAGAATGATTTTAAGTATTAAAAATCCTTTGGAAGGTGATGAAGGTACCAGTGCTTATATGGGTTTGGCACAAGGATTGAATCGTCTTCTAGCAAGTGTTACTCGTATTCAACAATAAATTAATTGCTTCTCTTTATATGAAGATTACTTAATTGGTATTGTGAGGTGTAAATACCAATTTTTAAATCAGTACAGCTTGAAATTAATCTAGTTCCTAAAACACCTAGGTTTGCCCTAGTCCATTTGAAGTTCGTCCACAATCAATCCTACTATTTTCAAATTCACTACGAGCCAAGCGGTCGTCGAGTTGTACATTAGAAAAGTTGGTGGTTTTTGTTGTTTTTCCAGTTGCCATTTGTATTTTCTAAAGGGTTTAACCAGCAGCCTCCACGTGTATTCTAATTACAGCTCGACGATATTTTGTGAGTGGTTGGCTCGTAGTGGTTTGGCAATTAGTTGGACCAAGTTGAACAAATTCAAATGTACGTTTGTAATTATAGTAGTAAATTGCCTGATCCCTCACAATATCATTTATAATAGAAAATATAGTTTCTAGTCATTAAATGAAATGATGTAAGTGAAGCTGAAAATATTAGGTAATTGTTCAGCATTGAACAACTGTGTACTTAAGATATCCACAAGGAGGTAATATAGTACTTGCAAAAGGCTCTATATTGCGTAACCAATTATGAAGGACAATAGTAACATGATATAGTGGCTGATATACATATTTCCAATGACAAGTATCCAGCATTATTAATATATAGATTATAGTAGAGATTATAATAAATTGATTAGAAGTCTGTATGTATTGATATAATTGCACCATACCTAACTGTCTCTGTATAACCTAAGTTCATGATTATTTTGCCTGCAAATGTATTTCGGATACACTGATTATATATCTGTTCGTTTTGTGTAATGATATGTAAAATTAATAGTGATTATTTACAACACACCTCAAACACAGATGTTGATGATATGGCTTTGAAAATGGGAACTGCCTATGAAAAGAAATAATTGAATATCTATAAAATAAGTTGTTTGAAATTTTGCTACATTTTGCTTTTCACAAAATTGGTGCCACAATTAATTTTTTATTTATTATAAGAGATTTTGGCTTAATGACCAACCTTGATGTATGTTTGGAATTCTTTATATCAATTTCATAACCCATGTTCTTTTTTGTTTATTGACACTCCAATTTAAAAATTTAATCAATAAAAAATTAATAAATAAAATATTAATCATTTTTAATGATTAAATGTTTATTTGATTGAACAGTTTTTTCAATACTCTTATTAATTAAATAAAAATTCCATAAAATTAAAATAAAATAAATAAAATATTGATTATTAAAAGAAAATAATAAATGATAAAAAAATGATAAAAATAAAACAATAGTACAATTAAATAAAATAAATAATAAAATAAAACTATATAAATTTAAATTTAAATAACATATTTTAAATGGATAAAATACCATATATAGAATTAAATCATAAATATTATCAGGTCTATTTCTATTAAATTTTTTACCAATTGATCTAAATAAATAATTATTAAATTGTACTATTTGATTACATGAATATGATTTATCATTTCTCCAATTTTCATTTTCATTATTTCCATGACTATTATTAGAATGATTACTATTATTAGAATTATGATTTAAATTATTAGAATTATTTAAATTATTTTTAATAATTTTAAATTCTCTCTTCCAACAGCCAATATGTTTCATATGTGAATAAATATAATGAATATGTATATCTAAATATATCCAACAATGTAAAACTAACATATTAATATAATGAATAATTAAAAATAAAATATATTGTAAATTCATAACATTTCCAATATTAATCATTGATGTTATTTGATGTTCTGCAATTGGTGGTAAAAATAATAATGGATATATCCATATATAATATGTTGTTTCTATAGATGGTAATAATACCATATTAATAAATATTAATAAAAACATTTTACTATTCATTTTAGTATTAATTTGTGTATTATTATTTTTTAAATCATTATTTCTATGTATTTTTAAATATATTGTATAATATATTATATTTGGTAAAAAATATAATATTAAATGAAATATACTATATTGTAACCATATATAGAATATACTATAATAAATACTTATTAATGTCATTAAAAAATGTATAATTGCAATACATTTATATATAAATGATTGATTTTGTTGTTGATTTGATATATTATTTGTAGTATTACTAGTATTATTATTATTATTATTATTATAATTAATAGATTGATGAGAAGTAGTAGTAGTATTATTATTATTATTATTAGATAATGATGATTTTAATGATGATGATCCAAATGTAGATGAATTATTACCATGATGCGATGATACCGATGATGATGATGTTAATGTTGAATTACCATTATTACTACTATTATGAGTACTACTATTATTATGAATATTAATATTATTATTATTATTTGTAATTAAAGAATGTTTATGTTGAATAACATCTTCAATAGAATTTTGATAATAATTTCTTAAATATTTCTGAAATATAAAAGTACATTGTAATATTAATATATTATAATTATATTCATTAGTTGGATAAATATAAAAATATTTTAATACTATATTAAATAGTAAATATAATAATAAAAAATTACGTAAATGATGATTTTGAAATAAACTATTCATTGATAATGATGATGTTATATTATTATTATTATTATTATTATTTGTTGTTGTTGTACTAAATGATGATGAATTTAAATTATTATTATTACGATTAATTGTTGATCCATTATTATTATTATGATGATGATGATTCAATCCATTCATTGTATTACCCGCTGATAATAAATTATTGTATTCCAATCCATTTAAATTACCACTTAAATTACTTCCATTATTATTACTACTATTACTAGTATTATTATTATTAGAATGAGAAGAAGAAGTGGAATGATATTGTTGTTGTTGTTGTTGATTCTGTGGATGATTGTGTTGTTGAATCATTTTTTAAATCAATTTTTTCAGAGCCTTCTTTGATAAATTTTGGATAGGTAAAATTTATCACACACAACAATTTAATAATAACTCTGTGTGATACACACATTTCAATGAATACAATGATGATTATATTTAATATATAAAAAAGGATTGTGATCATTAATGTTAATTATTATGACAATCATTATAAGAGTAATGATGATATGTAAATGTCTATCTAGTACTTTTACTATTTGAGAATCATTTTTCAAAATATCAACTACCACACAACATTCAATTGTAAAATTTTAGAACATTCAAATCAATACATAAAATACTTTTAATACTTTTTTGATATGTACTGATTGATGATAATTTAATTATTATTAACTCTTTGTATCCTTGAAGTTAACTGACAGTCAACACAAAGCCGTGTTTGAATTTTCAAAAAATAAAAAATATTTTCAAAATATTTTCTTTTAAAAAAAAATACCATCACATCACTACATCATCAATACTAATAGTAACAGTAGTAGTAATAGATTTATTTAAAAAAAAATGCTTTCTCGTCGTTTTATTCAACAAAATTTACATCGTTCTAAACTTTCTCAACAAGTTAAGAATTGTCAAATTAAATATTCATCAGCTGATAAGAGTACATTATTATTAGTTGAACATGATGAAAAACAAATTAATCCATCTGTTTATTCTGGAATTAAAGCAGCTAAACAATTAAATAATGAAGAATTATTAGGATTTATTGTAACAAAGAATGAAAATCTTGTTAAAGAAGCAAGTAAACATTTTCATAAATTAATTCATATTAATCAAGAATATCAAGTTGCTGAAGAATATGAACAAGCCTTATTAAAATATATTCAAAATAATCAACAAGATATTAAACATGTTATTGGTAGTCATACTGTATTTACAAAGAATATTTTACCAAAATTAGGATCACAATTAAAATCACAACCTATTGTTGATATTATTCAAATTTTAAATGATTATGAATTTATTAAACCAATTTATGCTGGTAATGCTTTAGCTCAAATTAAATTTAAACCAAAACAAAATTTACCACTCATTATGACTGTACGTCCAACTTCATTTGATAAAGATTCAAATGGTTTAAATAATAGTAGCAGCAATGGTAGTAGTAATAATAGCAATGTTATTATTGAAAGTATTGAAATTAAAAGTGAAAAGACACCAAAACTTTTAAATAGAATCAATGCTAATGAAAATGGAGCATCAAGTAGACCAGATTTATTACAAGCTCAACGTATTGTTAGTGGTGGACGTGGATTAAAGAATGGTGATAATTTTAAATATTTATATGAATTAGCAGATGCTATGGGTAATTGTGCAGTTGGTGCAACAAGAGCAGCAGTTGATGATGGATATGTTTCAAATGATTTACAAGTTGGTCAAACTGGTAAAGTTGTTGCTCCTGAATTATATATTGCTGTTGGTGTTAGTGGTGCTATTCAACATTTAGCTGGTATGAAGGATTCTAAAGTAATTGTTGCTATTAATAAGGATAAGGAAGCTCCAATATTCCAAGTTGCTGATTATGGTATTGTTGGTGATTTATTTGAAATTGTTCCACAAATGACTTTAAATTTAAAAAAATAATTTTTATTTAAATTGTTTATTAAATGATAATGATGAGAGAGATTGATTTTATAAATCTCTGAATTTTGGAAATAAATTTTAATTATATTTTAATAATTTTGTTGGTTTTTCATTTAAATTTGTTAAATCATTTCCTCTCTTTAAATTATTATTATTATTATTATTATTATTGCTATTATTATTAGATGTATTATTATTAGAATGTTGATTTAATTTTTCAAAAGATCGTTGTAATAATGAAATTCTTTCTGTTGTTACAATTTGTTTAGGTTTTGAATGATTAAATATTAATTTAGGTGGATTTAAATTTGATCTTGGATTTGGATTTGAAAAATTCTTTGAATTATATACAGGTAAATCTCCTAGAATGGAATTTTTACAACTACTTGTTGTTGATAAAGTTAATGTATTACTATTATTACTACTACTACTACTACAACAATTAGATGATATTATCATCATATCGGAATGTTGTGGGTACATATTTACAAGTGCGTGATAGAGTGACTCTGCGAGAGTGACTTTGAATATTTTTTTTAATTTGAAAATAACATATTTTTGTTTTAATACTAAAATATTGGTCATTCTATTAAAATATTAATATTAATGACATGGTCATTATTGAAAGTAACAATGTAAAGAGTCAGAATAAAGGCTAATCAACAATTTAACTTCTGTACAGGTCTGTGATGTAAATAAAGCTGATGTTTCATCATTGTTCACCAATGATCATTTCATATCTTGATGAAAATTTAAATTGTTTTCATTTTTAATAATTTTGGTTTCAAATAAAATCAACAATAAAAATATTTAATCAAATTATTGCAAGTCAATCAATTCATAATTTCTAATCAATATTAAAATTCCCAATCTAAACAAATAGGAGGAGCATCAAATAATTCCTTCAATTGTACAACTACTTTAACATGTTCAGGATGTACAGCATATTTTTGAATAATTTCTTTAGAATCAAATGTGGCACGTAATGCATGAGTGAAACCTTGTGATCTATCTGGTGTAATATTTCTACCAAATGAAATAGATTGTACTCCTTCAATTTTATTAACTAATTCATTAATTTGTTTAGTTAATGATTCTTCTACTTGTTCCGATACTATTATTTTAATATATTATTATTATTATTATTATTAATATTAATAAGATTAGATTTTTATATATTTAAAATTAAATGATCAAAATATTTTGTAATATTAATGTACTACAAACCTTCTTTTAATTTGAAAAATACTACGTGATCAACTGGCATTTTTTTAATTTTATCAATTATTAATTTTTATTTTTATTAATTGACATAATGGAAGAGGGAGTATTAATTTTAATCCGCACACTGCTTGAGAATGGTTGAATAATCAAGATGACAATATTGAAACTTTACAATAATATATCTCTACATTGAATCTACATATTACAGTAATACTATATTGTACAATGTTCAACAATTTAATGCATGAGCATCTTTCCAAATAAATCTAAATTATGAGAGAAAGTTTGAAGTTTTCATTTTGGGTTTTCTCTCTCACCAACAATATTTTAACTCGATAATTTTGCACTCTACAATACAGCTGCAGTCAAGTGTACGAAGTTTCTTGGAAATTATTTTTCGGCATTCGGTTTCAATGACGTATTCGTGCATTTGAGCAAAGATGGAAAGCCTTTGCTGCAACATTTGGGTTGTTGTGTATTGATGTTGTGATTATTCGGGTGAGCGAATTCATCGCCTTAAGTTATTTTTAAAATAATTTAAAGTGGCAATTTATTAGCGTCAATGTGCTTCAAAAAAAATTTCAACACTTTCTCTCACTTCTCTTTCTCTTACTCCTCACACAGCCACACACAATAATCTTTTCCGCAACACCACATTTCTCTCTCTTCAAAACATATATACTACTCTATAACGCGACTACTCTATATACTACTTCTACTACTACTACTAATACTTTGACATTAAATCCACAACCGACACTAATATATGCATAAATAACAATCTTTAAATGAATAATAATAAGAATGAATAATAATCATAATACAACCTTTAAAAAGTTACAACAATCGAATACTTATATACCAACTTCACCTACACCTTCTATATCATCATCACCACAATTAAATAATAATAATGGTGAAATGATGAAAAAGATTTGGAAGAGTTGTGGTAAAAAGGCTTTACTTAAATTTAAACTTGTTGAATTAAAAGAAGAACTTCGAAAGAAGAGTTTAACTTTGAATGGAAACAAGGCTGAAATTGTTGAAAGGCTTCATGAAAAATACATGTCGGAAGAATCTAATAACACAAGTACAACTAATAGTATTGATAATAATTCACCTGAATCTTCATCATCAAATTCATCATCTTCACCTGCTATTAAATCTTCACTTACAACAACTCCAAATAGTAATTCATCTATTAATGAAAGAAAATCAGCTTATATGAAAAGAAATTCAAATTCAGCTGCTGTTACTTTTGCACCATTTTCAGCAATGAATAATACTCAATCTCCAATATCACCTCCTAAAATAGATAACACTCCTTCAAGATTTTCAAGTGTTGGTTCGACGAATAGTCCACCATTATCTTCTAATAAGAAAGGATCATCTATTTCTCTACCTCCACCTCCTACTTTATCACAACTTCCATCTTCACTTTATAATCCACCACTTTTTTATAATAAGGGAAATAATTATCCTTATCCAAAATTACCTTCATTACCACCCTATCCACAATATGGTGTTCCAAATTATTCTTATTATCCAATGTTTCAACCAACAAGTACAACTTCAAATGCATTAACACCTGCTACTACTTCTACTATTACTAATGGTGCTGCTAATGGTACTACTACTAATGGTACTACTAATGGTACTACTATTAATACTACTAATAATAATACAAATCTTTTAAAAAAAAAGAAAAAAAAGGAAAATGCAGCTTTAAAACCAGCTAAACAAAAAGAAGAAGTAGATACAGATGAATTTTTAAGTTTAGAAGAAATTGAATGTTATAATTCTCAAATTGATTATAATTCATCTTCAGATGAAACATTTACACAAAAGAGAAGTTTAAGTGATACAGAATTATATATTGAAACATTTGAGAATGAAGCCTTAAATAATTTATTATATTCTTCAACGCCACATAAAAAGAAACAAAAACAAGAACATGAATTTTATGAAGATTTATTTTATGATAGAAATAAGGATTTAGTTGATCAAGAACAAGTTATTGAAACAAATCAAGAAGTAATTACAAATAATATTCATAGTAATGATATTGGTTTTAGAGTTAAATGTATTATTGATGGAAATATGAGTGAAGAAAAAGATGTTTTTATTAGAGATGATAAGAAATGGGAAGATGTTGTTAATCATTTACTTAATGATTATAGATCTTTTTATAATTATTTTAATTTCGAGTTTATTCCAAATGATTTTAATGCAATTTTACATTCAAAATGTGAAGATGTTCATTTATTATCAAATTCAACCATTCAATCAAGTTCACTTTCAAATAGAGATTCAATTACAATTAATTTAAGAGTTGTTGATCATTCATGTCAATTCGATTTACAAGTTGATAGTATCACTTCATTAAATTTACATTCATATGAAGATGAAGAAGAAGAAAAGGAAGAAAAAGAAGATGGTTATGATCAAGATGATGAAGATGATGATGATGAAGAAGAAGAGGAAGAAGAAGAATCAACTCTTACTCATCCTGATCTTCATGAAGAAGAACAAGTCATTCAAGATGATCTCTATGACCAACAAGTATTGTTAAATTTGATTGAATCTATTTAGTTACCTTAAGTTAAAAACAATTTTGATAAAACGAGTTTTTAGTTTTTAATAATTAATGATCTCAAATGACCTGCACTCTTTGAAATTCTTAATCTTCTTAAACCAATTTCAGTTCTTTTTTGTTGTTCAGTTTTTTCTTTTTCAATTAGAGAATTGGCTGGTATCATGGGTTGAATTTTAATATCAAAAGGATTATCACCACCTGTTATACCTCCACCACCAATAGTTGTTACTCGATGATTATTAGAACTTGTACTAGGTCTATTACCAAATAAATAACTACTTGGAAGACGTGAACCATTTAAAGTTGTTGTTTGTTTTCTTGGAGATGAAATTTGTAAAGTGAGTTGTAATAAAGTTGGAGTACTTTGATAATTATTATATCTAATTCTACTATTTGGAAATGCTGTTGAATGATTAAATGGAGATGATGGATGATTCATTGGAGATCTAGGAGAAGAATATGAAGGTGTATAAGATTGATTATTATAGGTCCAATCCATTACCTTAATATTTTCAGGTGCATGTTGTTTATAATTTCCATTCTCATGTTCAACTATAATTTGAGAAGATCCACCACCACCACTACCACCAACACTACTACCTTCATTATTAGTTTCAAATATAGGAGTTCTTTCAACAAATCTTCTTTTTGATTTTAATTTTTCAGATAATGCTTTTAATTGTCTAATATTTTCCTTAATAAAATCAACTTCCTCTCTCTCAACAATATGATTTGATTCAACTCTTTTAATAATTTTAGTTTTAACACCTGTACCCTTCTTCTTTTCAATAATTGCTTGTCTAATTGGATCAGTTTCAATTATAACTTCATTATTAGCAATTGTTTGTTCAATTGCTTTTTGTTTAATATTTTCATAATAATTTTCAACTGCCTTTTTCATTTCTTCATGTGATGGTGGTGGTAATGATATTGTTGAAGTTGATGTTGTTGAAGTTGTTGAATTATTCTTATGATTTGGAAATAATACAGACATGACTGTTGTATAATTGTGTTGTGAAAAATTATTCATTCTACTACTAAATGAAAATGCATTTTCTAAATTATTTTTTATATTTTGATTAGATGAATAATAATGAAAATGTTCTTCATGATTTTTTGAATGATCATTTTCATCTAATAATAATGGTGAATGATTTAATTTCTTATTTCTATTATTCAAATTGTTATTATTTGAATTATTATTATTAATATTATTATTATTATTATTAATATTATTAGAATTATTTAAAATTTCTTCAAAAAATAAATTATTCAAATCAGAATCTGATTTGTTTTTTTTAAGTCTTGGTTTTTTTAAAGATGTTAAATTTTCAAATTCTTTCAAATTCATTTCTTTAAATGTTTTTGAATTAAAATGTAAATTCTTATTAAATTCCTTAAATGGAATTGATAATTTAAAATCTTTTAAATTTGTATTTTTTAAATGTAATAAATTTGAATCTGATTTTGTTCTTTTTAATTTAATTTCCTTATCAATATGTGAAAATAAAAATCTTTCAGCACAATAAGAAATATAAATTCCAAATTTTTGATTTGTTTGTAATTTTTCAAAATTAATTGAATTACTATTATGGAAATTTTCCATTTTTGAAATAAATGCATTTCTTCTTTCAACACCTTCAAATGTTTTTAAAATTGAATTTAATTCAATTGGTTGTAATGTTAATACTTTTGCCATATTTAAATTTAAACTTTCATCAAGTAAATTTTCATCTTGTTTTTGTAAAAATTTATCAATTCTTTCAAAATGTTCCTTTTTTAGACGAATTTCTTCATTTTTCTTTTTTTCTTCATTTAATAATAATTGTTTACGTTTTTCTAAATTTTTACGACGTTGAGCATCCCATATTTGGAATTCTTTAGGTGCTTGTAATTTTATATGTTGTAAAATATCTTGTAATTCTAATCCTGAAAAATATTTTCCATTTTCAATAATTTCATTAAATAAATCTTCTTCTTCTTCTTCTTGAAGATTTAATTTTAACATTTTATAAAAATTATATTTAAGTACATCTTCATTTTCATTATTATTACCATTTATATTCATATTACCATTTATATTACCATTTATATTATTATTAGTAGAAGTAGTATTAGATTTTGATATTATACTTGTTATAATTTGTTTATCATTTTGATCTAATAAAGTAATGGCGTCTTGTTTTTTTAATTCATCTGAAATTTGTTTAATTTCTTCTTGAATTTTAGCTCTTTCTTCTTCTTTATCTGATTGTGTACTTGTTGAAAGTAAATTTTGATCCATTTTATTTTTACCTTTCATTGGAGTGTTAATAGAATGATTTGATTTAAATATATTTTCATTAAATTGATTTACTATATTTGGAGTATTTCCACCCTTTTTAGGTTTAAAAGAATCTATTGAAGAATTTAAAGATAATAAACTTGTATTATTACTTAGAGTAGGTGATTGAGGTGGTGAAATTTGATGTGGAAATTTGTTTGATGGAATTGGTCCTTTTTGTATTTCTAATGAATCATTTTCTATACTTGATCTATTACTACTACAAGTTAATGATAATGAATTATTTTTATGATCATAAATTGTATAATTTTGTCCAATTCTAGATTTAGGTGAAATATGACTAGAGGGTGGTGGTGATGCAAATGATCTTGCTGATGATGGTACACTACTAATAGATAAATTTAAATTGTTTAAATTTAATGTTGAAATTAATTTGTTATTATTATTATTAGAATTATTAGAAGAATTATTAGATGAGTTACTGGATGAGTTATTACTATTATTGGAATTATTTATATTATTGGAAGTAGAATTAAAAGTAGAATTATTATTTGATGTTATTGATTTTGAAGTATTATTAGATTTAGAAGAATTATTTATGTTATTATTTATATTATTTGTTACTGTGCTTGTCGATTGATTATTTCCATTATTATTGGAAATATTATTAGTATTATTAGTATTATTAGTATTATTTGTATTACTTGTATTATTATTAATACTTAATGATGTTGTACTAAATACTGGATTTTGTGTAATTGCATTTTTTCTATTAAATGGAATTGTTGAATTATTTGAATTATTTAAAATAATTTGATTATTATTATTATTATTATTAGTAACTGTTAATATTGGATGATTATTATCAGATTTAGTTGAATTATTATTAATATTAACTGTATTATTATTAGTAATTGTATTTCCTGTATTAGAATTATTATTATTATTATTGACTATAATATTATCAGATTTAATATTTATATTATTATTATTATTTGTAACTGTATTATTTAAAGAAGATGTAGATGCTCCATTATATCCATTTGATAATAAACTTGTAGTAGATGATGAATTATTTAAAGCAATATTAATACTATATGTAGAAGTAACACTTGTTAATGAACTTTGGCTCGAATTATTAGTTGCACTTGATACACCAATTATAGTATTTAATTGTCCTAATTTAGGTATTGGAGATGGATTTAATGAATAACTACTAAATGTATTTCTTCTACTTCCACTATTATTAATTAATTCTCTTCTTAAATTTGATGTTGAATTAGAATTACTTAATAAATTACTTCCACTATTTGAATGAGATTTAAACATTTGAGAATCAGGTGAAGGTGTAACTGGTGTTGATAATGAAGAATTAATACTTGACATTTTAGGTAATTGTGGACGTTGTGAACTAGACCACACTCTTTTAGGTGTATTAGAATGATGATGATGATTATTAGTAGTAGTATTATCATTTGATTGTTGTTGTTGTTGCTTACTTGTATTGGAAAATAAATTATTGAGTGATGATGATGAATTATTATGATTATTTGGAGTAGTATTATTATTACTTGTATTTAGAATAATATTAGTAGTTTTTAATGAGGGTGATGATCCATAACTGTTACTATTACTATTACTAGTAGAAGAGTTATTAGTATTTGTAGTAGAAGATGAAGAAGGAAATGATGAAGGCTTTGTTCTTGGAGAGAGAAGAGAAGAGGATGAATTTGTTGATTTGAATGAGGGTGTTCTCTTATTACTTCCAACCGATGAAGGTCTCTTTGACATCATATATTGAAATGATGGTGATGAATTAATCTTTGGTTTGGGAGAGAATGTTTTAGGACCACCACCTCCACTTCCACCAATACTGTTATTGTTGATATTTATTTGTAGTTGGAGATGTTTGTTGATTGGTTCTCGATTGTTATTAGTATTATTAATAGCCAATGAAGATGATGTTACTTGTTGATCCTTAGCAGTAGTCGAAGTGGATGACTTTTGATTATTATTGTTATTATTATTAATATCATTGTTATTATGTAGTGATGATGATGAAGTTGATGCTGAAGGAAACAATGTTATTGAGGCCTCCTTCATTAAAAGTGGAATTTGTTGTTTGTTATTAATATTTGGCGGGCTGCTACTACCACCACTACTAGAATTAAAAGTGGGTTTATTCCTATTCATTTTTAATGATATTCTTGTTGTGGTATATTAAGGTAGAGTCAAGTTCGTTCTGCAATGATTTTCGAACAATTAAGGCGAATATGGTGATCGAGACCAAATAAAAAACAATAAACGACAAAACAGGAAAACCGAATATTCTCTAACTCCTTACAGAAATACGGTAAAACTTAAACTCAAATAAAAAGGAATTATAACTATTTTAGAGAAGGAGATGTCTTTACGATTATTACACATTTCAATACATTGAACAATCATTACTGCCAATCATATTCATTTTACTGATCAATGTGATACTGATGAGATTAATCATCTTAATGACTAAAGGAACTATTCTCAATCATCAATGGTTAATTACTTATTCAGTAAAAACTCATATCCTGTAATCATGCCAGATGTTCCATTTTGAGTTATTAACCAATGCATTTGTTCATAGAAATGGTATTCATTTGTTTGGATACAATGACTCTATGAATGAAATCTAGATCCATCTTGGCAAGTTCATTATCATCCTTTTGTATATTTATTATTTGAGATTAATGAAGTAATAATCTGGTTTTAGCTTTATTTATAGTTATTTTTCATCATTAAATTTGTAATGTTTAGAAGTGGAATACAGGGTTTGTTCTCTATTTTTCTATTCAAAATCATTCTTTTACTCTTTTCAATTCCCTTAATATTTTTCTTAATAGTTGGATTTTTTAATTCTTTTAATTCCCTACAATAGGCTCTTTCACAATCTCTGTGTCCAAAAAAATTTGAAATTATAAAAAATAGTACAAACATGCCATTCACTGTCTGTAAATCTATTTTACAAATATTAATATTGATTGAAGAATAATAACAGTTCAAATAATAAGCATGTGTTCTACAACAAATCAATCCAGAAGGTTCAAAATACTTATAATGTGGATCATTTGACTTGTGATAGGTTATAGTTAATAGTAGGAGGGAAATCATTTTATAAAATTCCTCTGAATTGAATGCATCATTTAAATTTGAATGTGAAAACATGATGAATAATTTATGCTTTTTAGTTAAATCCTCCAAACAAATATCACTATTAATTTTTAAACCATCATCAAACTCATAAGAAGGATCAAAATGTAATAAATTTCGTATGGAAGTACTTTCTGATAATGGTATAATCCATTTCAGTCTATGTCTGAATATATCATCTCTATTAATTAACTGATGTGAACTTTTAAAATTGAATAAACAATCTCTCAAGTACATTCCAATTCTTTTAAATGCTGGTCTGACTAATTTAGATAATTGTGAAAATTCCAAATCATTCAATCTCATTATTTCAACAAATTCTCTTTGAAAAATACGTTCATAATCTGCATCACCAAAACTTTCCATTCCTGTGAAACCATTCTCATCAGCAATATAGTTCAAAATTGCAGTCCTTTCCTGTTGATAGGTTAATGATGGTTCAGAATGTTCTAAAACACCAGAAACAGTAAATCTCTTTTTATAATTTGGATGTTGTTTCATCTTTTCAAGCCATCCTTCATAACAATCATCTTGAATTGGAAAATCTTTTAAAAATCCAATTCTAATATCACAAGAGTTGAAACTCTCCACCAATCCGATTTCGACATTGTTTTCTTCTTCTTGATCTGCCTTTTCCTTCTCTGTTGAATCTGTTGAAGGAGCATATGAGTACACTTGTTTCATATTAGAATATTTTTTTGCTTAATAATCCGAAATTTTTTAAAATTTGGCGGGGAAGCTAATTGTTGGTAGTGGATCTAGTTATTATCAGAATAATGAGACAACAAGGATGATGTCCTAGATGTGGTTGAACTTTATATATTTAGGGAAATGGATTGAAATAAAATGAATGTAAGCCAACATGTTACAATATTTATTAAGGTCACAGTTTTAACAACTAATTTCAAATACACTATTAGGACACTTTAATTGTAAATTAATAACACGGATAGTTAAATCTGAATTATTAAATTAAATATTATTTCCAGTATATGGGATGAATTCAATCCACCACCAACAACGGTTTTGAAACATCCATAAATATCTGGTTTTCGAATTCTATTGTTGAAATTATCTGAAATCATGTACTTGTTCATTGTCATAAGTATAACCTTCCAATTCCAGCAATAGTTTCACACCATTTAAAAATGACAGAACAATTAGTTTAAAGACTTATGTTGGGGAAAATAGAACCATGTACATTTTAAAAGAAATGTGCGAATTTTTGGATTATTCATCACCCTTAATCATAAAAAACTGGTTGGCAATACCTTAATTATTCAATTTAGTAACAATTTATATTAGACAGCCATTTTGTTAAATTTCATGAATAATAAAACCATCAATTAACATTAATACCAAATTTGATTCACATAACATGATAATTATTACATTTAAAAGATTAATCTATAAATGCAGTAAAACAACTCAACCCTAATAAAAAGGATTACAACTATTTTAGTAATGTCAATTTGATTATTAAACAGATATTACTCTTAACAATATATCTTTATATAAAATGTTTTTATCTTCTCTTCTTATCGTTAGCTTGGGTAGATGATGTACTACTGGCTTGTGTAGTAGTGCCTTGTTCTGCACCTCCGTAGATATGTTGGGCTACTTTGTGTAATTCAAAGGAAATAACCATCGAGAATAGGAAACAAGTGGTAACACAAACACCATGGAAACTTGATGCAATGATCTCTGCTGGGAATAAACATAATAACATATCGAACCATTTAATATTTGATTTAATATTGCCATAGGCTGTAAGAAGCAACATGTAAATTATACTACACATAAATCCAGTAAAAACTTTTCCCTTCTCTGATGACAATAATGTATCCTTGAAAAAGTTTAATCCAAAGAATGTAATACCAGCAAGAGTGGCACTCAATACAAGTGAAGATGAAGAAGATGAAGGAGCCATTTTTTAATTCCTAATATTAAATTATTATTAATTTGAAATTTTTGATCATCAAGCCTCCCCACTTCTTTGTTTTCTCTCTTGATGATAGGAATCTCATGTTAAGCTTTTACTTGTTATTATTATTAAATTAAAAAATTGTTTTAAATTTGCTTCAAAAGAATGAAAAGGCTTTTCATCCTCTCTAAAAACCATATCATCTTTAATAATACAACATCATTAGTGAGAAGTGGGAAATATTCAATAAAACAATCTCCAGTACTACTCAATACATTGTCATCTTCCGATAAAAAATCATCATCATCACTATTAATCATCAATAACAAGAATGCACCTTCTTCATCATTCTATCATCATTCTAGAATTGCACCACAACTGTCAAATGTTGCTGGTTCTTTTATTGATAAGAATGAACCAATAGAAGAAGAGGAAGAAGAAATAATTCATGAAAATTTCGAATTAAAAAAAATGGACGTTCAATCTTCTTCTGCAACCAATGGTGCTGCCTCTTCTGTACAAACTCCAATTATTGAATTAATTGATGGAAAGTATTATCCATCAGGTAGTCATCATAATACTGAAAGAGAAATACCATCCGAATTTAAATGTATTAAAGAAGGAACAGCTACAGTTATTTATTCTAAAGATACTGAAGCCTTTTATAATAAGGTTCAAGTCTTTAATAGAGATACATCAACTTTGGTGATTAAAATGTTCAATGATATTAGAAAGGAAGAAAAATTAAATCCACCACAAAAGAAGAGACAACAAAAACAACAAGCTAAGCAACAACAACAAGAATCCACTACCACTACTGCCACTAATACTAGTGAACAACAAGCATCCGAACAACAAACACAACCACCACAACCAAAACAACAATCAAATGATCAAATGGATACAAGTGATGATAAAAAACCAACTTATGAAGGTATTAGAATTTTAGAAGCCTTGTCTGCAACAGGCTTACGTTCAATTCGTTATTGGCATGAAATTCCAAATGTTAAACAAATTATTGCTAATGATTTATTACCTGAAGCAGTTGAAGTGATTAAGAGAAATGTAGAATTTAATAATATTTCAGATAATAGTATTATTGCTAATCAAGCTGATGCAATTGTATATATGGCATCAAATACAGATAAAGCTTTTGATGTTGTTGATTTAGATCCATATGGTACAGCAGCACCATTTATTGATGGAGCAATTCAATCAGTTGATGGAAATGGAGGATTATTATGTGTAACATGTACAGATATGGCAGTTTTATGTGGACAACAACCAGGTACTTGTTTTGCTAAATATGGATCATATCCACAAAAATTGAAATCATGTCATGAACAAGGATTGAGAATGTTAATTTCATCAATTCAAACATGTGCATCAAAGTATAAGAGATATGTTGTACCTGTACTTTCACTTTCAATTGATTTTTATGTTAGAATTTTTGTTAGAGTTTATACTTCACCTGAAAAGGTTAAAACAATTTACAAACAATTTGGAAATGTTTTTGTTTGTTCTGGATGTGAATCATATTATTATGAAAATTTAGGAGGTGGATCAAGTGCATCTAGAAAGGAATATATTCATGATCATTCAATTCCAAAAGATAATTGTCCTGAATGTGGATGGAGACTTAAATTATCTGGTCCAATGTGGTTAGGTCCAATTCATGACGCTGATTTCATTTCTAAATGTTTAGATCACGTTCAAAAGAATACTCATTTATTTACAACTCATAAGAGAATTATTGGTTTATTAACTGCTGCAAAGAATGAATTATCTGATATTCCACTCTATTATTATCTTGATCATGTTGCAAGTGTTTTGAAATGTAATAATATTCCAATGAATGTTGCTAGATCTGCTATTTTAAATGCTGGTTATAGAGTTTCAGGTACTCACATTAAACCAAATGCAATCAAAACTGATGCTCCAATGAGTTTCATTTATGATATGATGAAGGAATGGATAAAGACTCATCCTGTTAAACAATCAGTTCAACCACAATCAGTTCAACAACAAGAATCTACCACTTCCACTACTGCTACCACTACTGCCACTACCACTGCCACTACTGCTACCACTACTACTAATAGTACTCCTATTCATAGTGATAAGAAATTAACACCAGGTCAAGTCATTCTTTCCAGACCTCAAAAATCTCAAGTTAGTTTGGAAATTAATCAAAAAGCTTTAATTTCAAGCAAACATACAGGTATTCCAACTTATTTACCAAATCCAGAAGAAAATTGGGGACCAGGTAGAAGAAAGACAATTCATCAATCTATTAATGCATCATCTTCTAATAATGAAGATGAAGAAACAAACACAACTAATACAAATGAAGAATCACTCTCTCCACAAACAAAGAAACAAAAACATGAATAAATTGTTATTAAGAATGTTCAACTATTTTCATCAATTAATTGTAATAAAATATTAAAATAAAGATATTATAAAAATTAACAACAATTTAAAAAAAATGAGAAGAGCAGTAATACAATTATCAAAGAGTAATAGTAGAAATTGTTCATCTTCTATTATAAAGATGAATAATTCTATCGGAATGAATAATTTTCTTCTTCCAACAACAATAACATCATGTAGTATGAATAATCAACATCAATTATTCAAATTAATAACATTATCATCATTTAATTATCATCAATCATTATATCATTCTAATAATAATTTGAATAATAATAATTTAAATAATGATGAAAATAATTTAAATAATAATTTAAATAATGATGAAAATAAATTTTCAAGAGATGAATTACAAGAAATATTAAATCAAGTAGAAGAACAAGTATATTCTCATAAATTATTTAATCAAGTTTTAAATCTTCCAAATCAACCTGAAGAAAATTTATTTTTAAAATGGAATTCAATTACTCAAATAGTAAATCAAAGTTATTATAAAGTATTAAAACAAAAATATCCACAAATTTATTCAATTGATGAAAAACTTCAAGATGAAGGTGAAATTTCTAATCAAATTACTTTAAAAGTAGTTTTATTTAAAAATGAATTATATAAATATCAAGATTTAAATATTTTTAATTTTATTAAAAGAATTTTAATTAATTTTGGATTGAATGAATTTAATAATATAAAATCAACAATAGAATCATCTCCTTCATTACAATTAAATAATATTGAAAAATTATCAGATGAAAATATTAAAGAAATTTATAAAAATACATTTTTAACAATAAATGATGATGAATTAAATAATTCAATTTATTATCAAGAATTAAAAGCAATTGGACAAAGTGGACCAAATGATTTATATCAAAGAAATGAATTAACAAAACCAATTATAGCAAGAGCTCAATATGAAGTTATTACAAAATATTTTGAAAATAATTATTTATTACATTGGTTACAATATAGATTATCTTTAGAAGAATGGTATCATCGTTTAGGTTCAAAAGATCAAGAAATTATTGATAGAACAAGAGAATTTCATAATTGGCAACTTGATATCATTGTTGGAAGAGAAGAAAAAACTAAAAATTCTAAAAAATTTAAAAAATTTGTTGCAATTTTATTTGCATTAACTGTTGGTATTGTTGCAATTGCATATATTGGTTTAGGAGGAAATAAGGATAAAAAAGAAAATGAAAATTAAATTTTATTTTTTTATTTAATTTTTTAATTTAATTGATTTTTTAATTTTTACATTTTTATCTATTTATTTAATATTTACATAAATATTAATAGAAAAATTGTTAAAGTTGAGGTTTTTCTAATAATTTAATCTTTGTAATTAAAATTTCATCCTCTAATGGATAAATATTTTCACATTTCATTCTAATTTCACTGCTCATTTCACATTTAATTGCCATTCTATTAACAAATTCTAATATTGTCATTTTACTTAAATATTTTAATATTACTTGATACATTATAGTTCTAATCTTTTTAATTTGTGACTTGTTAGCATATGATGTCTTTTTAATTTGTAATAATTTCATTCTTGTACATGATGTCATGAAAATTCTAACATGATATCCATCCATACTTTTAAATGTATTATTAAATGTTATTATTGAATGCCATTTTCTACAAGTTAGTGATGTTAATTTATCTCTCGTTAAACGAAATCCATTAAATTCTGTTTGTGCACACTGTTGATCATCTATTGTGCTAATATTCAACTTTACAATATTATAATTATATTCTTCTTTTAATGGCATTATATCTGGAGCTGATAATTCCATTGATCTATTGATAATTCTTTTAAATGTAGGTATTTGAATGAGTGGTTTCTTCATACATGTTAACTTTAAATTTGAAATACTTGTTTTAGTGACAGGTGTCAATAGTTGTGGATATTTAGATGATGGTGAATATTGTTCATTAAATGTTAGATAAGGTGATTGTATTTGAAATATTTGTTTTCTATTTGGAAAATCACATTGATAGGAATATTTAAAATACTTGTTAATGTATTTTTGTTTGTATTTTCTATAAACTCTTTTACCTAAAACTCCCATTTTTTTTTAAATAATTGTTTTTCAGAAATAGAATTTGATTAAATTTCAAATTACATTTTGGTCAATTATGAAATTGATTTCCATTTCAAACATTGTGTTACAAAGAACAAGAAAAGTTCATTATCAGAATCATCACAAAGTGAAAATAACAATTAGTATTTATCAATATATTTAATAAATACAACATATTTTACAATAATGTCAATATTTAATATTATTCCATTTACAATGCATCACATTTCACTCTTCAAACAAGCCATTTAAAAAAAAAATACAATCAAACAACAACATGGGATGAGGAGGGTATGTACAGTACATTGTTTCTTCCTGTCATAATTATAATTTTCAACATTTATCTGATGATATAATATATTTAATATTAAAATATATTTATAATAATAATATTAAAATTAGGTCACCGGCATCACCAGCTAGAATTCAAATACCAACCAATGTTCAAATAATAGACTCTGCTGCTCAAGTAACCAAGTATAAGAGTTTAATTGGATATGGTATATTTACTTTCATAGCACTATTGGTGATTGTCGGTTTATATTTATTGTGGAGAAGAGGATTTTTCAGAAGAATGAAAAGAAGTAACAACAATTCAGATTTAGCACATGTTGATTCAATGGAAATGGCACCTACTCTATCAACAACAACAAATAATTCTAATAACATTATTAATAATAGAAGTACATACTCTTCGGAGAGTGTTTAAATTCTTTGATTGTAATATTAATAGTAATGATTATTATTATTATTATATTTTAATAGTTATTAGTATTGAATGATGAAAAGACATGACAGAGTTTTACATTGAAATTTGCTTTATAAAGAGCACAATGAATTCACTTGAGATTTTTCATTGATTCAATTTTAATAATCTATTGGAATAAAGGCTAAGTTTTTTGGAGGGAAAATTGTTATAATTGACTAAATCGGGATTTGTCTCAACACAAAAACAAACTCAAAAAAAAACAACCAAGATGCAAAAGCAAAGCTTTGCTATCAAGACTAAATTTCAAGCAGCCTCATTGGAAAACAAGGCTTTGAATGGGTCAACTAGAGAGTTTTCTACCAAGGAAGCTTTGAAGGCTAGATCAAAGTTTGATAACTTGAAGAACTCTGTTGAAAAGTTATTGAGTGCTCGTTCTCAAAACAAGCAGAATATTGAATCAAAGGTAAGTTTAAGAATACTACAAAGCCTTTCTTCTGAACACCCAACACACATTTATTATTATTACCAATAACATTCACTCGTCATCTTTAGACTAAAATCCTTCACAAAACTGAGGAGAGTTTAACAATGGTTGAGGAACTTGTTGCCGATCTATCCAAGACGAAAATTAGACTTGAGGCTATCAGTCAATCAGAGGAAGGAAGACTTGAAAGATTAAAGGAAAGACATCAACAAGTGGAGAAGAAAATGGAAGGGCTAGTAACAGATCTTAATGAGTTATCTGAAAGAAACAAGCATGCAAAGGAAGTTATTGCTAATCTTAGAGAGAAGATTTCTCACGATCAAAGATGTTATGAAATCTACATGGACACTTTACAAAATATTGAAGAAGAGAATAGAAATCAAGAAGATCATTTGACAAGAGGTAAGTCTAACCTATTGATTATTTTAATTATATCATAATAGTCAACCAACAAAGAGAGGAAAGAGAGAAAAGAAAGAATGAAGTTGAATCAGAACTCAAGTTGAAACAAGAACAAATCAATGGAGTTAATGTCAAGATGCAAGAGGTCATGGAGATTATTACAAAGAAGCAGAGTGAAATTAATGAAATCTTAATGATTTCCAATCAAGTTTCAAAGCAAATTGCAACAATTAGAAAGCAACAAGAGGAGTTGATGAGAGAAAACCAACAAATTGAGACTCAAATTAAAGATAAAGAGGAAGAACTCATCAAGAATCAAGGTGAATTCAAGAAATTGAATGATATTATGGTAAGTGTTATTGTTTAATCCATATATACATAATATCAATCAACAAAGGCTGATTTAGAGACATCCATGTTAGAGTATAGATCCTCAAGGGATGAAATGAAGTTTAAGGACAAGTTTGAAACAATTATGAAAAAGAATGGACTTCAATTCGAAGGTATTGACACTTCAAAGATATCATACCTTGCTCAGAAAAAGCAATTAAAGCAAAAGTGTTTGAACGATCTCAAGTTTAAATGTGAGCAACTTGAAAAAAAGAAAAAGGAAATTGACAACAACTTGAGTGAAATTGAAACTAAATTCAAGTCTTGCGAAGAGGAGTTGACCACTGTTGAATCAAGTATTGAGGCTAAGAGGGAAGAATTTTCAGCATCAGATACTACCATCAAAGACTTGAAGGAACAAGCCACCTCTTTAAAGCAAGAAATTGAAGAAAAGAGCATTTCATTGCAGAATGTCAATAATGAGATTTTCAAGATTGTCACCAATAGCAACCAAAAAAGTGAGCAAAATACTTTTGCATTATCAGAACTAAGATACCAACTAGAGCTCAAGAATGAAGAAATGAGTAATCTCACAAAGAAGCTTCAAGAATTGGAACAAAGAGAGCAAGATGAGATGAAGAACTTGGAAAAGGTTGAACTGGATTTGAGTAAGAGTTTGTTGGATTTAAAGTCACATGAAACCCAAAGAGACGAGAAGAAAGAAGAGCTAGAAAAGAAAAAGTCATCACTTTCCTTGCTACAAGAACAATTAGATTTATTGAGAGATCAAGAAAGAAGACAAAATTCCATTCTCAGTGAAAAGCAAATTATGGTAAGTTTTGTTTCTATAGAACTAATTGCTCACTGAATTGGAAAAAGATCCAAAAGCTAGTTGGAAAAGATGCAAAGATTGATTTAGGGTTTGACTTTGAAAAGGAATATGAAAGACTGCAAGAAGAAATGAACGAACAACTTGAAAAATTCTATGAAGAAATGTCAGCTCATTACCAACAAGAGGTAGGTTAATAATATAATATTATTTAATATTATTGTACATTGTACCAGTTGGAGAAGGAATCTCAAAAGAATGCCAATAAGAGACAAGAAAGAGAACAAAGATTGAAAGAGTTGGAAGACAGATATGCCAAAGTATTGCAAGAATTGGATACTGAGATTGATGAATGGCAAACAAGAATAGAAAATGGAACAGATGCAGAGGAAAGTGCCAGAAAACCAAAACCAAAGCCAATTGTTATCGAACCAATGTCTCAACCCCTATTATCTATTGATTTTGCTGATGACCTATTCACAGAAAACACAACAAAAGAGAAAACATTTGACTTTTTTGATGATGACTACTGAATATGTTGAAGTTTACAGCAAGTAAAATACAGGCAATAATATTCTGGATAAAGACCAAACGTGATGTCACGTTTCGCGAAAAGGAAAGCGTGTGTTGCTGCTAAAATAAACGTTATTTTCTTCAATAAGTTTTACAAAAAAAAACAATGTCAAACTACCAAAGATCAAAATGGCGTCTTGCTGAATTTGAAGAGTACCTCTCTCTTAGAGATATCAAGTTGATGGATTATTCATTCATGGAACAAAGAGACAAATGCAACTTGTTACAATGCAAAATGGTAAAAGGACAATCCCCAGAAATAAGGGCTGTTGTTAAAATTGTCAATTATGAGAATGAACCTGGAGAAGATTACGGTTCGGAAAATGAAATTGTTGAAAGAGAAAAGAGTGCTTTTTACAATTCTCAATCCAAAGAGTATTCATGTGAAATGTTTGAATTCTTTAAAGGTGTTTATTATTGTTACACATTAATGAAATTTTATGAGGGAGGTAGTTTGGATAAACTTTTAACAGAAGATCTCAGTAGAGAAACTTGTATTTTAATTGCTTTCCAAATATCAAGAGCACTTGTTTCTATTCACTCAGCAGAAGGTAAAATTATTCACAGAGATATCTCAGAGGATAATATATTCATTGAGTCTTTTAATAGAACTACTGGTATCATTAAAGTTAGATTGGGTGACTTTGAGTTTAGCATTCAAATGGACCAGGACCTTAGTTATCGAACAATTGAGAGTAGTATGCGTGTTGGTAAACCAGCACATAGGCCACCATTACATATGAAAAATGGAAAGGAAGCATATGAGGTTGGTTCTAGCGGGGATGTGTGGTGTTTTGGGGTAACATTGTACAGATTAATTACCAAAGATACTGAAACTTGTTTTAACAAGAAATCAGAATTTAAAAACCAACAAGATATTGATAATCACATACTTCAAAACGGTAAAGAAGAAATTAAGCAAAGATTGGAATCTTCAGGGTTACAATTATTGATTCTATCATGTATTAAGATTGAAGAGCATGAAAGAATTACAGCAGCAACAATGAGTGAAGCAGTTTCATTCTTCGCATATGTTTTAGGTTTAAGTGATCGATCTTCTGATACTAAAGTTGACATATTAGCTAGTCCTCATGCCAACAAAACAGAGAATGAATTTCTAGACTCTATTAGTCAACTTGATGATTCATCTCTAATTAAGTGTGTTATTCAAGGATGTTACTATCAGAAAAATAGGCAATTTAAAAAGGCAATCATTTTCTTTGAGAAATCTATTGAAATATTTCCTTACTTCCAATTATCATATGAAAAATTGGCAAAATGTTATTTTGACCAAAGTCGAAAAATTGATTCTAAAGAGGACAATTATGAGGAACTGAGAAAAAATCTATTACAAAAGGCAGAAAAAGTAATAACAACGTGCATTAATTTAGATCCTAAATACTCTTGTGCCTATTATAGAAGAGGGTGCATATATCTCAAATTAGGCATGACTGATGAATCAATCAATGATTTCAAAGAATGTGAGAGGTTAGGATTTTGGAATATTGATCAAGTATATCATCAACTCTGCCTCATTTATCAACATTTGGGAGATAAGGACAATGCGTTTTCCTACTTTTCAAAATATTCATGTTATAGACCAGACAATGTTGAATCACTATTGAAATTTGGTCAATTTGTATTGAAAGATAATCCTCAATTCTCAGAAAAACTCTTTTCAGAAGCCTTACAACTTAGAGTGGATAAGGATATTTCGAAACAAACTTTAAATGACAAGAAAACAAGAAAAATTCTCTCTTTGGAAGCTCAGGCACTTAATTCTTTTCATTTCAACAAAAAACATGATGATTTGGAGAGTAAATTTAAAGAAGCAACTTCAATGTTGAACAATTTAGAAGAACTTGAAAAAACTGATCAAAGGTATTCAAAAAGTATGCTTAGTTTATATTTTCAATTGAAAGAGCGTAGAGTAATGATAGCCAACCAATTGAACATAACTGATCAGGAACAGTTAAAAATGATCTATGATGATTGTTGCTTTCTCCTTGAAGAAGATTCCTTAAATGTTAAAAGATACGAAATGAAATTGAAATATGCAAAATTATTAGGTATTCCATTTACAGTTTCTGATGAAAATTCCATGAAAGTTTTATACGGTAAGAAGGAAACTATTTGGTCCTATTGGTCTCGATGGATGTCAAGTTATTGGAAACCTTAAAATACTCTTTCAAATCTCATAGAATTTCTGAACTAGTTCCAAAAATTGAATGTTTAAATAAATTATCATAATAAAAAATTGAAAAAATGTCAAATAACAACAGTGGTGAATTAATTTTCATTCACTTAGGAGAATGTGGATGTCAGATAGGAAAATCCATATGGGATTTATTTTGTAACACAGAATTTAAATCTAATACTTATCAATTATTTGAAGAAAGTATTAGAAAGGAAAATACATTCACATCCCGAAGTTTATTCATTGATTCCGATTCTAATATTATTGATCATAACACTTTTACACAACAAATTCGATTAACGCATTGTGAAAATAAGTTAAAATATTGTTGTAAACAAGAAAATATAATTAATGATTATGAATCTTCAATTACCTCTTTAAGATCTCAATTTTCTTTTGGAAATAATTATATTAATTATATTGAAGAGAGAATTCGTAAAATGGTTGAAAATTGTGATCATTTGGATGGAATTATTTTCACTCATTCCATTGGAGGAGGAACAGGTAGTGGAATGATTTGTAGAATATTGGAACAATTGAGATCCAAGTCATGGTTAAAAGGAGTTACAATAGTAAGTTTCGAATAGCAGCACATATTGTGTGAGTATTTTAAATTAGTCATCATTTAGTGTGTTTCCAAGTTTAAGTGAAATGGCTAGTTCCACAACTTTTGAATTGTATAATATGGTTTTATCAATGGAGACTATGAGAGAATATCTGTCCAATATATCTTCAATCCGAAATGATTTGATATATGATTATTGTAAATATGAATTGAAAATAGAAAATATTGAGTATAATACTATTAATCAAGTAATTTCACAAATGATTTCAACATTTTTAGAACCATGTCTATTTTCAAATGAAAGTTTTTCACAAATTTCATCAAAACTAGTTCCCTACCCATCAATGAATATTATTTCTAATAGTTTAATGAGTATAAGAAACAATTTGGATTGTAAAGAGTTATTTTCCAATCAATATTCATTGACAATCGATGGAATTGATAATGCAAAATCCATTTCAACATGTATATCAATGAGAGGAACTGATTTTTACAATATTAATAAGGATAGTATTGCTAATTATTTGAATCATAGAAAGTTAATTTACCAAAACGTATTCAATTCTCAAAGAAATATTGGAAATGCTTGTAAATTATTTAATTCCAATAATATTGTTCATATAGCAAATAATTCCACTGGTGTTAGGAATAATCTTGAACAGTATTTGAAATTGTTTGACACCAATTTCAGTAAGTTTGAATATCCAAAATAATTAACTTTATACCATTTAGAGAAATATACTTATATTCAAAAATATGTCCTCGAAGGTCTAGCAGATGGGGAATTTGAACAAGCAAGGGAAAATTTAGAAAGCTACATTGATGACTATAAAGAATTAGATAGAGATTATATTTATAATATCATCCACAAAAAAAAGTATCCATTCTTTAATTAAAAAAGAATATTTCCAAACATTGAAAAATTGTCAAAATAATTTACATTCCAAATCCATTAATTTATGAATCAATAATATAAAACTCGATCGATTATACAAAATATTTGTTTAATAATTTACATTTCCAAAATATATTTATCCAACAATCATTGAAATCAGAATAACAAAAGCATTAATAAATATCAGAGGAACTATTCTGATAAGATCCAATTAATATAAATAGACTTACTTCTCAGCAGTGTCCTAACAGCATGTAATAAATTAATAATTCTAGCCTTTATACTTTCTTCCGCCACTACTTCTGGTCTGTATCCAAATCCGACTAATTTTTGAACAATTGATCAATTTTATATTAGTACTATGTATACACTACTATAAACACATACTCCTTCTCAAAAATCGTTCTTCATTCAAAATTGCCACAGCATTCACCAACAAGACAATGATTTTAATTAAAGTCCACAGTGCCATTTTTTTTTAATTTAATTTTAAATTCGATGATGATGATGATGTATATGAGGTCATGTTAGGAGGACACGTTTTGATGAATATCAATTGAATACTATTAAAAATTTCAGTAATATACAGTTTAATAGGATGGTTGGAAATGGATTTAATAGGTCCGATTATTATTATCACCATCACATGAATTTAATAATTATAATTATTAAAAAAAATGTTAAACGCCGTGATGAGAAGAAGAGTATTGAAGAGTTGTACCAATTCTCTTGTTAGCAGTGCTGCAACAACAACAACAACAGCCTCTGTTAGTAATGCAATCAAGATGATGAAAATGACCAATTCAATTTCCACTCAAAGATACTTTTCACTCTCCAACAAGCAACAACAAGCCTTTGAAGAACGATCAAAACATTGGAATGAATTAAAACAACAAGAAAATATCAAGCCTAATAATATTAATATTAGCAATTTAAATTTAGTATTGAAATTTGGAGAAAAGAGTAAACCTTTATCAATTGTTGTAGACTCGGAATTCTTGAAAAAGACACCACTTCAATTAGCTAATGAAGTCTTTTATAAGAATGAAGTAAGCGAGTTTTTAGTTTGTAAAATTAATGGAAAGCTCACTGATATGAATGATACATTTTCTGAAATTTTGAATAATCAAGAATCAAATAATAATAATATTGAATTCTTTACATTTGAAAGTGTTGAAGGAAAGGAAGTATTTTGGCATTCAACAGCTCACATTCTTGGTTGTGCTTTGGAACAAAAGTTTGGTTCATCACTTAAATTATGTGATGGTCCACCTTTGGTTTCAAAAGAAGCTTCTCAAGTTTTAAATGGTGGTTTCTTTTATGAGGGTTTCCTTGAAAATAATGAAAGAATTACAACTGAACAATTGGAAGAATTAGAAAAATTCATGCAACAAGTTGTGAAAGAAAAACATTCATTCCAAAAAATTCACATTACAAAGGAATTGGCAAGAGAAATTTTCAAATATAATCAATTTAAATTGGATATAATAGAGAAAATTCCATCTGGTGAACCAATTACCATGTATAAATGTGGTAATCTTGTAGATTTATGTAGAGGTCCTCATATTCCAAATACTTCAATGATCAAAGCTGTAAAACTTACAAAATTGAGTGGAGCCTATTGGAAGGGTGATGAAAAATCTCCACTTTTACAACGTGTTTATGGTATTTCTTTCCCTAAAGCTAAACAGTTGGAGGATTGGCAAACACTTATTGAAGAAGCTCTCAAGAGGGATCACAGACTTATTGCTAAAAAGCAAGATTTATTCTTCTTCCATGAATACAGTCCTGGAACACCATTCTTCTTACCTCATGGTACTAGACTGTTTAACAAATTGGTTGAATTTATCAGAAAAGAATATAGAAAGAGAGGTTATGATGAAGTTATTACTCCACAAATGTTCCAAAAAGAATTATGGGAAACGTCTGGCCATTGGCAACATTACAAGGACGATATGTTCACTGTAATTGAAGGAACTCAACACAAGGAAGAAACTATTGGAATCAAACCAATGAATTGTCCAGCCCACTGTCTCATGTTTGATAGTAAGATTAGATCATATAGAGAATTACCTGTAAGATTGGCTGATTTCAGTCCACTCCATAGAAATGAACCACGTGGTTCCTTGACAGGTCTCACTCGTGTCAGAAGATTCCATCAAGATGATTCTCACATTTTCTGTACTCATGACCAAGTTAAGAGTGAAATTGAAAATTGTTTACAATTTGTTAAATTTGTTTATAGTGAAATATTTGGATTTAATTTGAGATTCAATTTATCAACAAGACCAGAAAAGTTTGTTGGTGATATTGAAATGTGGGATAAAGCTGAACAATCTCTTAAGGAATGCTTGGATGGATACAATTGGAAACTCAACGAAGGTGATGGTGCTTTCTACGGTCCAAAGATTGATATTCAAATTGAAGACAGCTTACAAAGATTCCATCAATGTGCTACTATTCAATTAGATTTCCAACTTCCTCGTAGATTTAATCTCAAGTATCAAAGTCAAAATGACCAACTCATTACACCAGTCATTATTCACAGAGCTATTTTGGGAAGTATTGAAAGATTTATTGCTCTCTTGACTGAACATTTATCAGGAAGATGGCCATTCTGGCTTAATCCTCGTCAATGTTTTATTTGTCCAGTCTCAGCTGAAAATGCTTCCCTTGTTGATTACTGTAAAGAGGTTAAGGATCAAATTTTCAAGACTGCTGAAGAGAGAGGAGTTTTCTCCAACTATTTCATTGATGTTGATCTTTCTGATAAGACAATGAAGAAAAAGATTAGAGATGCCCAAGTTCTTCAATATAACTTTATCTTGGTTTTGGGAGAAAAGGAAATGCAAGAAAAGACAGTGAGTGTCAGAAAGAGAGATGGTACTCTAGTTGGAACAATGAAAATTGATGCACTCTTATCAATGTGGGAAGAATTATTAAGAACCTATCAATAAAACAAATGTAAATTTATGACTTAATCTTCCTAGATTTGACAACACCAGTTGAAATTTTGCTTTCACCACTATAACCTGCTTGAGATTTAACTTTACCGAATCTATAACCTCCAGTCTTTGCCTTATACTTGTTTTTCAGTCTGAGTCTTGGATTTCTTTGATCTTCCTTCTTGTGTGCTGCTAAACCTCTATTCTTAATAATTGTGTGATCAGCCCTTCTCTTACCACTTTCATCTCTACCTTCATATTCCAAGTTTTCATCTTCAAAATCTCTCTTTTGTTTCTTTGATGAAAAATCAGAACCTCCACGTTTTCTCTTCTTTGAGTCATCCTCTTCTTCATAGTAATCATCTTCATCTTCATCAAAATCAGAATTAGAATCATAAGTCAAAGCACCACTTTCTAACATGGCCTTTTCTTCATCATCCATAGCATCACGCTTTGGTCCCTTTGTAATTTCCTTCATAGCTTCATCAGCATCTCCAAGATATTGAGCCAAAGCCAATTTGCTGTTTGTGGCATTCTTTGATTTAGCATATCTTTGAAGAGCAGTAAATTCGTGGAATGAATCCATTTCTGTCAATGGATCCTTAATCTTCAATTCCTCAGCAATCTTCTTTTTATCTTTCTTTGTAAGCATAAGTCTTTGACGAGATTCAAGTTCTGCCTTTTCAATAGCTTCCAAATGTTTACTTCTTCCTTCAGTACCAATAGAGTATGATTCTTCTGGAGCATCACCAAATTCATTCTTAAGTTCTTTCAAGAGCCCACCCTTTTCAATTCTTTCCATGGCCTTTTTTCTTGTCTTTTCTGACTTTTTCAAAGCAGAATCGTCATAAGAAACAGCCATCATCTTTGGAGCAACATAGGTATCTTGTTCATCATCTTCATCAACATTATCATCACTGTCAGAATCAAATGATGTCTTTAATTTTCTGGAACCAGTCTTCATTTCCATAAGATCTTCATCACTTTCACCCATATCAGAACCATCTTCATCTGAATTAAAAGAAGCACCTTCTTCATCATTCTTTAATAATCTATCTGGATTTGGTTTGAAATCAAATGTCATTGTTGAATCTTGAATATTATTTGCCAATTTAACAAGTTTATCAACTTGATATTTCATTCTTTCATCTATTGGTTTAATCTTTTCTAAAAGTAATCGGAGTTCAACCAAATTTTCCAAAACTGGATGATCTTTAACAGATTTTCCACTTGATTTCAACAAGACATAAAACAAAATATTTGTACAATAAGTCAACATTAAATGATACTTGGTTTCTAAATAACTTAAACCTTCACTTGTTGCTAAATTACCCATTTCAACTTTAGATAAAATTGGATGTAATTGTTCCTTAACTGTAACAAGTTTGTTCTTTAAATCTACAAGTAAATTCATAAATTCAGGAGCATCTTTTTGTATAATTGCAAGTTTTTCTTCAATTGAAACTTGTTCCTTCTTTGAACTTTCTTGAATCTTCTTTTTTGTTGTTGTTTTACTATCTAACATGAAATCATCCAAATAATCACTTGTAGATAATCTCTTTGCTCTTTCTTCTTGCATTCTTTTAACTTCCTCTTCTTCTTCATCAAATTGTTTTCTTTCTCTATTTGTATGTGTCTTTTGAGAAATATTAGTTTGTCCTTCATAGAATTCATTTCTCTTCCATCTTGTTGTTTGTGATGAACCAGCCAAAGCCTTCTTTCTTAATTTGCTAATATCTTCATCGGATTCATCTTCATCACTATATGCTCCTTTATATTCTTCTTCATCATCCTCATCAGAAGAGACTGTTGTTGTTAGTTGAGTTTCATCATCTTCAGATTCATCATCACTTTCATCTTTTTGTTTTTTAGTAACTTTTGCAACTGTTTGTTTTACTAATTTTCTATCAATTGATGTTTCATCAGCATATCCATCATTATCATCGTCATCATCTTGATCATTTGTTTGTATAAGTGGTTGAATAATATCTCTATCCTTGTCCTTTTCTAATAAACCTGTTTTTTGTCTTATTTGCGCAAGTTTTTTAGATTGGAATTTATCAGTTTCTGATTGGAAACTCTCGGCGTCTATTATAGCATCCTCAAGAACTGGCTTTTCGGATTGATGTTTTTTAATATCCTTTCTCTGTTGAGCAAATGCCTTGTTTTTTGATGCTGCTCTTTTAGTGTTTGGCATTTTGTGTTATTTTTTTTTATTCGAGTCAAATTTCTTGTTGAATTTTATCACCAACATTCTCTCTTCAACTCCATTCATCAAATTGTTAGAGTGATGAAGAGAGATGTGTGGGGTGTTATTGTTTGGATAATGTGTTGTTATTTACATTGATGTTATTCCATAGTTGTTATTATTATTATTATTATCAGACGGATTTTTATTTAATATCATATTAGAGTATTTCCGAGGTGTTAAAGGTAAAACTCTTTGGCAAAATTGTACAATAAGGAGTTGAGTGGGGGTAATTATTGAGATTTCATTCTCAGATAAACAGGTTTGAAGGTGAAACAGATTTGAAGCAAATTGATGATTCAAATTAATCTTTTGTGCTTCATTTGGTTGTACCAAAAGCCAGTGAACCGAATGGACACAGAGTTGATGATTTTTCATCTGATAGAGGTTTGTATTGGTCCTCATTTGGAAGTAAAGAATGTTTAGCCCAGAAAAGTTGATCAAAGAATACAAGTAAGGAATAATCTTGGTGGTGAGTAATTGTAAAGTTTGGATCTTCAGCAATAACTGATCTCATAAATTCATCTAATTGTTTGTGAGTTTCAAAGGTAACCTTTCCAGATCCATACTTCTTTTCCAAGCATGCATATAACTTGTCATGTTTAGCTTGGTCAGCAAAATTGAATTCTATTGACCCTTTTCCTTCTCTATTCAAGATAGTATTATAGTTGACTGTTGGTGTAAAAATTATCAAGATAACTCGAATAAAACTTACAAATCGTTTTTCCTATTCTTTCAGTTTCCAAAACCTTCTTGATACCAAGAGAATCAATTATTTTCTCAACAAAATGTTGACAATTTTGTAATTGATCATGATACAGTTTTGTGAGATTCCACTCTACAATAATTTTAGCAATGGTATCGATAATTGAATCCAAAGTAACATTAAAAAGCTCTGCAATACGATGAGTTCTTGTTTGATACAAGTAGGAGTCTGAAACTAATTTTCTTGGTATAATTAATGAGTGAGTCTTATTCCACTGAAGTAAAAATGGTCCAATAATCAATCCAGAACAAACACCTCTCATCTCTTTTGATTTTGATCCAAAGAATTTAAGTACAGGGTTACAGAGTTTTGCTGGGTAAGGTGTCTGAATCTCTTCAATGTAAATCAATTTTATAACAATACCTTGACCTTTCTTTTGTTGGAAGAAAGATAAGGTTGTTGGCCAATCATTTGGTGCCATCTAAATTAAAGTTAGAATTTAAAATTAATTTGAACATACCATAGCATCAGGCATTGTATCCTCAACTGGTTCATCTCCACAGAATACCTGTGTTCTCTGATGGAAAGATAATAACTTGCTGTAAAATTGTTGGGTTTCAGCATTTGATCTATTCAGATAAGTTTCTTTCAGTTTTGTTACATCAGTAAGATCCGTGATGAGTTCATCCAATGTAAGATTCTCTGCCTCTTTGATTCTTCTAGCAGTATCAGATTGACTGCCAATAAAACTTGGTAAATTACTACCAAATCCAAGTTTTGAAACAGAGTAGCATGATGAGGAATCCTTTTGTGATTCTTCATTATCTCTTAGCATTAATCCAAAATGACTACTCTTCTTGTCATCTTCGCTTTCACTGTACCAATCATCTGTGTCCGAGTCAGTTTCTTCTTTCTTAATATTTAAATTTTCAGATTCAACATGAAGAACAGTCTTTTTTGTACTCTCTTCATCTGAATACCAAGGATCAGAGTCATCATCATTGGATGATTTAGAAATTAGGAATGAAGACTTTTTGTGTGAACCTCTAGAATCATCAATATCTTCTTCGAATGAAGATCTTGCAGATCTTTCACTTTCATCTTTAGTCTTTGGTGTAGATATCTTCTTCTTATCAGAATCTAAATCATCTGAGAATACCAGCTTGATCTCTGAAGCAGATGCTTCACGGCCTAGAATATGTTCATCATCACTATCATCAATGGAAGGAAGTTTTAAGGTTACATGATTGGAGGAAGAGGAATTTCTAAATGATTTGTTATTATCATTCTCGGAACTTATTTCTATCTTGACTTCACTGATATCAAGTGCGGAAAAGTCATTTTTAACATGAAGCTTAGTTTGACTTTCAATTTCGGATGCTCTTTCACCCTTCTTGACAATAGGCTCAATTATCGAGCTATCTTTTGATTTTTCATCATCGTCATTGAACCAGTCTTCATCCTCATCTGAGTTTTCCTCAAAATGTTTTATACTACTATTATTAATTGGCTCTCCTCTAAGTACTAAAGGAGTCGAAAAGTTTTCTTCAGATTCACTGTTTGTCATTCCAATCTTTTCTTGTAAAATTTGATTTGGACTCTTTAAATCTACTTCTAATTTCTCATCATCTTTTTCATCTTCCAACCAATTATCATCATCGGAATCTGATTCTGCTTCTTTCCACCTATTAAGATTTGGATTTAAAGCTTCCTCGTTGTGTTTTTGAGTGTCGTTATCCTCATCATCATCACTTCCAAAGGGATTGTCATCAATCAATGAAGATTTTACATTATTATACATCATGAATTCCATGCTCTTTTTCTTTAAGAAATCATCGTCGATACTATCAAATTTAAAATCGTCACTACTATCGCTGCTATCACTATTTCTGGCTGTATGAATATCGTTCTGTGCAATAGGTGAATCAGTATTACCAATATTGGAAAGATGTCCAACTACTGAAGATTTCCTCCTTGTTGGATTTTCAGGTTGAGTTAAAAGTAATTCTTTAAGTTTTGCCAAAAGTAAATATTCTTGTTGAGAAGATATGAATTTCCTTTTTACAAAATCTAAATATGGTTATTTACAGTAAATATTCCAATTCAAACTTACAATAGTTCAAGCATTCTTCTTTCCAATTTTTTACATCCTTTTTCAATTCCAACAAAATTGGATCATTTACCAAAAGACCAAGCTCATTTCTTTCCATTCCTTTCCTAATACTATCAGATGCTTGGTGTTTTTTCTTTGTTTCCTCCATCATTTGAAGAGCTTGTGAAGGATTTGTACAAATGTACATCATGTTGGTTTTATGAAATTTATACAAGTTTTGCCACAAAACATCTTGATATTTGTTTTCTAATTCTCTAAACTTTTTACAAGCACTTTTTGAAAATGTTAATTAATAATAATTCAAATAACCCTCTTACCTCGAACACATTAGAAGAGAAGTTATATCAAGAAATGTAAAAACTCTAGCCATGGCGAGATCAAACATTTCAAATGTAATATCCGATTTAATATCCTCTCCAACATTAATTGGTGAATCATACCGTATAGAAACTATTGATACTCTACTCATCTGATTATCAAATGTTGTTATTGTTTTCCTTCTTGTTGGTGGCATATTTGGTATTTCCACTCTTGATGATTTTTCATCCTCTAAAGGCAAATTATCATTTGCCGGTAACTTTACACTACTAACATTGGATCCCATGTTGTTGTTTCTTCGGGTTGTTGTTTAACTAAATAATCACTCCAAAAAACAATTAATTTATCCAATAATTATTATAAAACACTATTCATCAACACCCTCTATCACGCACACAAGAGATGATTCGAAATCGTTATACTTGTTGTTGTTATTGTTGTTGTTTTAAACAAAGGCACAATTGATGATGATGCCCACTAACAAAAAAAGTGTTGAATTGGCTTGCGAATATTTTTTAACGAGTTTGTTGTTATTTGACTAACAAGTGATGATATCAACATGACGAGTTTTAATTTGATGAGTATCACTGAAACCTTTTTAAAATATGGACACTACAGAATCAATATTGGTTTGAATATTCAGTTGTTTTCATGATAACAAGTTGAGATAACTTTAGATAAGTTCTTCATGCTTGTGGTTGTTTCTCATCTTGAAAAAACAAAATAATGGAGGGAAAACAAATTTTCTTTTAAAAAAAAATGAAAACACTCATAGCTGACTGTGGAGGTTCTTCCATCAAAATTGGATATGGAGCAACATCGGAATCAGAAGTGTTGGAACATTGTAGACTTGATAAAAATCCTCTGATCATTCCTAATTATATTGCTAAACATAGATCTACATCGGGAGCTCCTGGATCAGTTTTTATTGGTGATGAATTGGAAAATGATTGTGAATGTTTTGCATCACTTTTATTTAGGAGACCAATTGAAAAGGGATATATAGTGGATTGTGAAACTCAATCAATAATTATGGACCATATTTTAAAGAATCACTTTCCAACTTTACAAACTAACGAAACTAGACTCTTTTTGCCTCATCAACCTTTCACTCCTAAAACACTCCAAAGAGATATATGCCAACTTGTCTTTGAATATTATGGATTTAAAGAATATTCATCAATTTCAAGCCAATATTTAAGTTTTTTTGGATATTTAAATGAAATTAGAGATGAAAAAACTCCACTCAATTCCCAAACTTCAAATAATTCAATTGTACAATCAAAGAGTGCTCTTGTAATAGATTCTGGATTTTCATTTTCACATATTTATCCCATTGTAAATTCTCTCCCAGTCAAACAGGCAATTAAAAGAATAGATATTGGTGGAAAACTATTGACCAATTATTTCAAAGAAGTTGTTTCAGGAAGACACTACGATATGATGGATGAAACTTATTTAATGAATATAGTGAAAGAGAGATTATGTTTAGTTTCTAACAATTTTGAAGAAGATTTGAATTTGTGCTCGTATATAGATTCACCATTTTTAGTTGATTATGTTTTACCAGATTACAAGAACAGTAAGACTGGTTATGTGTTGAAAACTGATAGACCATCAAATGAAGATTTACAAATTCTTACCTTGAATCAAGAAAGAATGGCAATACCTGAAATTTTATTTAGACCTTCTGATATTGGAATTAATCAGGCTGGAGTTTCTGAAACAGCTGCTAGAACTATTTTAACAGAATTCAAATCGAGTGTAGAACAGTCAATCCTTTTTGATACAATCCTTTTAACAGGTGGTAGTACCAAGTTTAAAAACTTTAAATCTAGGCTTCAAAACGATCTGAGAGGTTTTGCTCCACAAGAATTCAAATCAGTCACTGTTCATGAAAGTAAGAATCCAATGACTTTATGTTGGAGAGGAGCCTCAGCATTTTCCTTTTATGAAAAACAATTATTGGACAATAGTACAGTAAAGAAGGAAGAATATGATGAAACTGGATTTGAAATTTGTTTGGATAGATTCACCAGTTCATAATAGAGTCTATGATGACAATTTACTACTAGAATCCTCATATTAAATAAAAAACATTACCAATATAAATAATTATTGTTTTTTATGTGTTAAGATTTTCGCCTTCATATTATAATCCCATTCGAGAAGGATAATAATCTCTGTTAAAAAGTTTACAAGTCTTTAGTGTTTTTAAGATATTTTCCAATGTTTCTACCCATACCCTTGCCTTCCACGGAAGCACAGAGTGATTGAGTATCGACTTTTTCTTTCATAATTCTCTTGTATTCTTGTAAATGTGGAGCAACATTTGTAACATCGGATTCAATGAAGAATTTGATAATGTGTCCTCTTTGTTTGTGGTGCATTGTGGCTTCATTATATTCAATGTAACCACGAATAACTAAAGCGTCAATAAGTTCTGTATCGGATAAACCTTGGAAGCTCTTGAATTCCTTGTGGATTGTTTTTCTCATAACATCAAGATTTGTTGGTACGTGATAAGTTTCCTTCATCCAAGGCAAAATCTTCAACATTCTACGGTAGAGAAACAAAACGTTAGCGTTGGCTTCTTCTAATGATTTACTTCTAATGTAGGCATAATCAGTGAAATTAGCACTTTGAATTGATGATAAATTAGCAACCAAAGGAGATGATTTGGTTGATACGGCCTTGTTGAGTTGTATGATTGATGATGAAGAAGCCTTTTTAAACATTTTTTTAAATTTTTATTTTAAAAATATTTGATGGTATTGAGTTGCTATTAACTATTGTGTTATGTTATTGCGATTGTCATCGTAAAATGAATGGACAACAATAAGTGTACGATCAAGTTTTTATCAATAATGAATGACTCTCATCATGCTGGTTGTGTTGTCAAAATTTGCGCGCTATTTTTCTCTCCCGCCCAAATTAAAATTTTAAATTAAATCAAAAAAAATGTACACAAACAAATCCAACAATAAACCTCGGCTGCTAAACAAGCCCACAAAGAAGAAAGGAGACCATGGCAGTCAACAAGAAAGATTGGATGACGATGAAAAAGCTCAACAATTAAAAGAATATAGAGAAAAGAAAAAACTAGAGGAAATTGAAATTGACAAACGATTCTTTGGACCACAGATGGAGGGTACAAAGAATCTGGGTTGGTTGGTAAACTTTAGAGCAACGAGTGTACCAGAAAAATTGACTATGGGTGGGTCCGGAGGTGAAGATGATGCCAATTCTTCGGATATGGATCTTGCTGCAGTTGTGTTATATTTTATGAGTGATGAAGGTGACTCTTTTTCTGTCACCAAAGTATTCGAACCATATTTCTATATTGCTGTGAAGGATGACAATTCATTTACAGAAGTTTGCAATTATTTAACATCAATGGACCCAATAGTATCATTGGATATAGTAGATAAAGAAGATCTTGACAAGGTTAATCACCTTTCCGGTATAAAGGCAAAGTACTTGAAATTGAGATTTAAAAACGTTCAACAATTGATGGAAATGAGATCTAAGTTATTACCAATAATTGAAAAAAATAAGAAAAAGAGTCAAGATTCGTTTGAGCTATTAGAAGAAGAGTTATTGAACGAAGAAATGGAGGATCAGTTCTTAGATGATCTTGATGACTACGAAAGAGGAATTAGACGTAAAAGGAAAGCTAAACTTTCGACTATTGATTGTGTTGACAAGATAGTTGATATTAGAGAATATGATATTAAATATCATATTCGTTGTGCCATTGATACAGATTTAAGAGTTGGTTATTGGTATGATATTTCTGTTGAGGAAGGAAATGTTTTGATTTCAAAGAGAGAAGATATCGAAGAAAGAGCTGTTCCTAAAGTTTGTGCTTTCGATATTGAAACCACAAAACCTCCTCTCATGTTCCCTGATCCACAATCAGATAGAATTATGATGATATCTTATATGATTGACGGCCACGGTTACTTAATTGTGAATCGTGAAATCGTCGCTGAAGATATCGAAAATTTTGATTATACTCCAAAAGATGAATTCCCTGGATATTTTGAAGTTTTCAACGTAGAAAATGAAAAAGAGTTATTACTTAAATGGTTTTCACATATGCAAGAAGAAAAACCATGTGTATATGTGACGTATAACGGTGACTTTTTCGATTGGCCTTTCATAGAACAAAGAGCTAGTGTATATTCACTGAATCTTAGAGACCATGTAGGTTACTATAGAATGTCAGGAGATTGCAAAAAGCTTGGATCTGACACGCTTTATGGCAGTAGTTTTGGTCTCCATATCGATTGTCTGTATTGGGTTATCAGAGACAGTTATTTACCTCAAGGTTCTCATGGTTTGAAAGCTGTCACTAAAGCCAAGTTAAAGTATGATCCTATTGAAGTAGATCCTGAAGATATGTTACCTTTTGCAACAAGTCAACCTCAAAAATTGGCTTCTTATTCTGTTTCTGATGCAGTTTCAACATACTATTTATATATGAAGTATATCAATCCTTTTATCTTCTCACTTTGTAACATTATTCCAATGCCACCAGATGAAGTTTTGAGAAAAGGATCAGGTACACTCTGTGAAACACTTCTCATGGTACAAGCATTCAAGGGTAATATTATTTTCCCAAATAGATATCAATCAGATCCTGAAAAGATGTATAAGGGTCACTTGTTAGCAAGTGAAACATATATCGGTGGTCGTGTAGAAGGTTTAAAGTCTGGTGTTTATAGATCAGATATACCATACAAATTCAAATTAAATCCAGACAGATATCAACAATTAGTTGATAATGTAGATAGAGTCATTAGATTTGCAATTGAAGTTGAACAACAATTGAAAGTTGAAGATGTTGCCAACTTTGAGGAATTGAAACAAGAAATTATTGATGGTTTACTTAAACTCAAAGAAAAACCAGAAAGAGAAGAATGTCCAAAATTATATCACTTGGATGTTGGTGCTATGTATCCTAACATTATTCTTACACACAGACTTCAACCATCTGCTATTGTTAACGAGGACACCTGTGCTCAATGCATTTACAATAAGCCAGAGAATGATTGTAAGAGAATAATGAAGTGGCACTTTAGAGCTGAATATTTTACAGCATCTAGATCTGAATTTAATATTGCCAAGAATTCTTTAATGAACGATAATCCAAACTTTACCAATGAAGAATTAAGAAAGAGAGTGGGTGAAATCAGTCAAAAGGCCCACAAGAAGAAATATAATAAGGAAAGTATGGTCAAGGATGCTACTATTTGTCAAAGAGAAAATCCATTCTATGTAAATACAGTTAGAGAATTTCGTGACAGAAGATATGTACTTAAAGATAAATCCAAAGAATGGAAGGACAAGTCTAAAGATCCAGAATTTGAAGAAAAGTCCAAAGTCATGTTAGTTTTGTACGATTCTCTTCAACTTGCCCACAAGTGTATTTTGAACTCTTTCTACGGTTACGTTATGAGAAAAGCTGCCAGATGGTACAGTATGGAAATGGCTGGTGTTGTTACTTACAATGGTGCTCAAATTATTAGAATGGCCAGAGAGCTTATCGATGATATTGGTATTTCATTGGAATTGGATACTGATGGTATTTGGTGCATGCTCCCTGGTTCATTCCCTGAAAATTATACACTCAAGCTTACTAATGGTAAGAAGAGAACAATCTCCTATCCTTGTTTGATGTTGAACGCAGATGTTGCTCAAAATTTCAGTAACGATCAATATCAAAATTTCAATCCAGAAACTGGAAAATGGGACAAGAGAGCTGAATGTTCCATTTTCTTCGAAGTTGACGGTCCTTATCGTGCTATGATTTTGCCAGCCTCAAAGGAAGAAGGTAAATCTATTAAGAAGAGATATGCAGTTTTCAATCATGATGGTACTTTGGCTGAATTGAAGGGTTTCGAAATTAAAAGAAGAGGTGAACTTAAGCTTATTAAGATTTTCCAATCTCAAGTTTTCGAACAATTCTTAAAAGGATATTCTCTCTCTGAATGTTATCAACATGTTGCTGAAATTGCAAATAGATGGCTGGATATTCTTTACACTAAAGGTGAAGGAATTGAAACTAAGCAACTCTTTGATTATATTACTGAAAGTTCTAACATGAGTAAGAGGTTAGAAGAATATGGTAATCAAAAGGCAGCAAGAATTACAGCAGCTAAAAGATTGGTTGATCTTTTTGGTGAACAAATGGTTAGAGATAAGGGTTTAGTTTGTAGTTACATTGTGGCAAAGAAACCTGAAAATGCTAGTGTTACAGAACGTGTTATTCCAACAGTTGTTTTCCAAAAGGAGGAATCTGTATGCTTGTCATTCTTGAAGAAGTGGACAAAGGATACATCAATGACAGAAATCGATCTCAAGGAAATTGTTGATTGGGATTATTATATTGAAAGATTGGGTAGTGCTATTCAAAAAATTATTACTATTCCTGCAGCTTTACAAGCTATTGATAATCCAGTACCTAGAGTTAAGCACCCAGATTGGTTGCTCAAAAAGTTGAGAGAAAATGCAAGTCAAAGCAAACAAAGATCCTTGATGGATATGCTTAAGAAGATACCCGTAACAGAAGATTCTTCCTCTGATAGTGATGAAGAAATGGAAGACGCTTCAGGTGATGAAAAACCAAAATCTAAATCTACAAAGAGAAAGATTGACGATGTTGATGATGATTCATTAGGTGAAGAGGTAGGGCAAAAGAGAAAGAAGAAAAAGAAGAAGAACAAGACCAAGAAATCTAAATCCTCAGATGGTAACACTCTTGTCAATGATGGTACTATGGCTTCATATGTTCAATTTTATTCTAACCAACTTAAAGACCTCGTGTGGCATGTTATTGAAGTTAGAGAATCCGAAACACCAGGTCTTCTCAAGCTTTTTATTAGTGTTGGAGGTAAAATGAGAACATTCAAGATAGAAGTACCAAGAGTTGTCTATCTCAATTTTTATCAAAAGCAAGGTGAATCAGAGGAGCCTCATAAGAAATTACCAATTCTCTCAAGTCAGCTTGTTGAAACTTCAGTAGCTAATAAGAGAGATACATTCCTCTATAGAAAAGAGTTGCTAGAGTCGTACTACCAAAAGAACTTGCAAACTATTTACTCTGAATTCTCTAATCCTCATATTCAAGGTGTTTATGAGACACAAATTGATCCTGTTCTTAGAGCTGTTCTTTCAATTGGTTCACTTTGTCAAGTACATCCAAAGTCAAGAGAAAAGATTGACTCTGCCAATACGCTTACTGTTTCAGATCTTGTTCAAGTTGACGGAAGTCATTCTAAGAAGAATCCTGGTGTATCTTATCTCAAAGATGTAACAAACTTGCAAAAATTATATCTTTTTGAAAGTTGTTGTGATGTCAGAGGTGTTATTGGTTTGTTCTCTTTTGCAAACAAGAAAGCATATATTTATTTGATTCATTCAATTGATCTCCAAACTACAGGTTTGCATCCTGATAGATTATTCGATGAAGTATTAGATCAAATTATTGAGCAATCTAACTTGAATATTACAGAAATTGAAGAATTTGAATTGGATGTTTTCAAGAATAGAGTTGATGTACTTAAAGAAATTAACAACATTTTGGCGAAGGAAAGAAAGGCATCATCTCTGCTTTTAGTTCAGTCTCCATTCTCATACCAAACTCATTCAGCCTCTGAAATCGCTCCAATGTTAGAAGAAATACCTATTGTAGCCATTCCTTTCAGTGAAGAAGACAACAAATATCAACATGCTCTCTCAGCATACTGGACTAATAATTGTATCAAGCAAATGTTTATCAGATATTGTGCTATTGAAAAATGGTATAAGGATATGACTAACTACAGTAACTATTGTGGTATTCCTATTGGTAATATTGAATCAAATGACTTTGTTATGCATTTAATTGACATGATGTTTGGAAGAAGTTTACAAAATGACTATGTATTGTGGTTAAGCAAGGCCAACAAACCAGATTTAGGAGGTTGCGAAAATGATGCACTACAACAACAAGCATTGTTGAGTGATGACCAATTGTATTCCAGAAGTGGTACTTTTATTAATCACTCTGCTTGCTATCACTCAGTTTGTGTTGAGTTTGATATTTCTCACTTGGACATTAATGCCATTTTGCAAAGTAGTTTTATTGAAGAAACAATTGATGACAAGATTAGTAATTCATCTAAATTCTCCACTGTTACTGAAATTTTCAAAATATTCAAGCAAGTTGTTTCCAAAATGTTCGCAGATGTTCACAATGATGACAATACCTGTCCTGATGTTCCAGATTTGTTGTTATCAAATCTTTATAGATGGTGTTGTAATACTCATGCTAAGCTTTTCCATCCTGAAATTTTAGCATTCATCTACAGACTTCAAAAGAAAGTCTTCCTCCAACTCTGTGCTCACTTTAAGAAGTGTGGATGTAGAATCATCTATGCCAACTTCACTAAGATTATTGTAGATACTGGCAAGAATACTACAGATGAAGCTAAGGTTTACACTGACTACCTTAAGTCAAGCATTCAACAACAAAAGTTATTCACTTGGGTTGATATTGAAGTTAAAAACACTTGGAGTAATTTGTTGTGGTTTAATCAAGATAACTTCTTGGGCTTTAAGGAAGACCAAGAAACAGAGACTGGACTTTCTTCTGATCCACACATTGATTTATTGAGTGAACTTCCAGAATCAGTTAGAGTACATTTAGTATTCTATCTTTCTACTTACATGTATGAATGTCTCAAGTATAGAAGATCATTGGATGAAAAAATTTCAACAATGAAGGCAGAAGAAGTTCAAAAGATCCAAGAAGAACATGCCCAAGAATATTTGACAACTAAATTCTCAGAAGGTTTGATGGAAGTGATGAGTAATCAACTCAAAGAGCTCTCCCTACAATTAGAATCAGAAAAAGATATTAGATTAGAGTTTGTTAATGCAATTTGCCATATGCTTTCAATTGATCTTTTTATTAGAGATGAAGTTAATGTGCTCAAGAGATCTTTACTGAAATTATTGGGTGTAAAGGAATTCTCTTCCGAATCAATGTTCAAGAGATCCCAGAATATTTTCAAGGTTCCTGATATGATTTGTTCATTCTGTAGTTCTTGTTGTGATCTTGAGCTTGGTAAACCAACAACAGAAAACATCTTTAAATGTAAACACTGCTCGAATGACTTTGACAAATCTCTAATTGAGGGAAGATTAATTGACTATGTTCAAAATAAGATGGTTGGATATCAATTGCAAGATTTACAATGTTCTAGATGCTCCCAAATTAATGCCAATAACGTACTTGAACGTTGCCACTGTTCAGGTAAATGGATTTCTGCCCAAGTAGAAAATAAGAGTGAAAAGGTAGCAGACACAATTCACCTTATCCATTCCATTTCTCAACAACATAATTTTGATACATTGAATGAAATTATTTCATACATGTTGAAGAAGAAAAAATAATCTGAATAAATTAACCTAGTAAATTAAAAGTAACTATTCCTTAATTCATTACATCAAATCAGATTACAACATAGAAATAAGCTAGATATTTATTAATGTACATTAGTTTGGTGTTAACAAGTTTAGTGCAACATCTTGTCCAAAGAGTTTTCCTTTCTTAGATCCTGAATAGTACCAACAAATGATCGTTCTCCTGAGAATTTAGTTTCACTGACGCTCAACCAAATTGGGAACATTGATCCACTCTTATCTTTAGCAGTAACTTTTCTACCTCTTCCAATAACTTTCTTTTCTCCAGTTTCCAAATAGTGAGAAACATATGAATCGTGATTAATGGAATACTTCTCAGGCATGAGTTGTTTAATATTCTTTCCAATAAGTTCATCTCTATTATAACCAAACATCTTTTCAGATGACTTGTTTAAGAAACAAATATTACATTTTAGATCAATAATAATGACAGCATCAACAAGGTTTTCCAAAAGAGAAGTAACAGAAGAATTACTATGCTTACTCTTATCCTTTCTTAAATCTTGAATTGTAGCAGTGAAAGCATGTCTTCCTAACCAAGCAGATTCAGCAACACTCAACCAAATTGGGAAAATTAAACCATCCTTAGCACGAGCTTCAACCATTCTAATTAGATGTAAAGTTGTGTATTAGAGAGAAATTATTCATAGTATAAAAACTTACCTTCCAGATCCAATAATTTTAGCTTGACCAGTTCTTAAATAATTATCAACATAATTATCATGTTGAATTCTATGAGTATTACTCATTAAAATCTTGACATTTCTTCCAATAACTTCCTTCTTTGTATAACCAAATGCCTTTTCAGCAGATTTGTTCATATATTGAACAATCTTATCATCTGTAATAATAATTACAGAATCAACAAAGTCATCAAAGAAAACAGCTCCATCATCCATTTCTGGTTCTTCATCTGAGGCATAAATTGATGGAAATTGATCTGTATGACGTTGAGCATGAAGTTGTGCAGTATTTGATGATGACATTTCACTTCCACTTGTTTGACTTGAAGTGTCATCTGCATCATTTTCAGTTGTAATATATAATCTAATAGCAGAGTCAACTGGAACATTTTGTTTACAAATATTAAAATCTTCTTCCTTTCTAATATTAATAAAATCACCTTCTGTATCACGGTATTTAATAATTGGTTTTAAACAATTATATTCTTCAATAATCTTTAATTTCAATTCACTAAAAGTAGCTCTATCTCTTTTCAATGCAATTAAATGAACATCTTCAGCATGATAACATTTAAAAACTAAATCAGCTGAAACACCACCTCCTGAACTACCTGCACTCAATTCAGACAAGTTACTATTTTGGAAATTAGATGGTTGAGCTGTTTGTGTGAAATTTCCACCTCCACCTGTACTATTACTAGCAGTACCATTATTATTATTATTAATATTATTAGAACTGCTACTACTACTTGTTGGTGGAATCATATCGGAATCATTTTCTGAAAGTGTTTCAAGGAAATTTGTAATATTTGAATTCTTTTTAAGTGCTTCAACAAGTTTTTTAAACTTTTTACGATGACCAAGTTTTGTCACTTGAAGTTGATTCATATCTATTTTTATATAATTGTATGTACATGTTATTGTATTATTATTGTATGTATTAGTATTATTATAAATAGTGTTATTATTGTAATATTAAATATATATTTGTAAAAAGTATTATAAATGAATGTATAATGATTGTATTCAAAGAGATGGGAATTAACAATGGGTGATGACAGTAACGGATAATATTACGGATATTTAGTTCAATTTAGAAAGATTCGAATAAAAACATCAATTAATGATCATCACAACATATCTATTAGAAACTAATGGAAATAATAATAATATCAACAAACCTTCTTCTCCTAATTCGAGTAATTCTTGACCACTAATTGAATTGTTAATAAATATTGGCTAAATAGTTTAGTTTAATGTTATTAGAAACTACAACAACTTACTTTATATTCTCCTAAACCAACTAAATCTAACCAAATACCAACTTCATTGACTGTCCAAGAACCAGCATCTATTAAAACAATAAAATTATTCTAATGTTGGTTTCGAATAGAAAACTAACCTTTTTGTTGAAGTTTCTTAGCCAAGTCAGAATTTGGTTTAGTGTTTGATGAAGAAGATTCCTTCTTCTTGAAGAAAGAAAAGACTGGCATTGAATAGTAGTACTCGCTCTTGTGATGTTTTTTTGTATTGAGATTGATAGGAGTTTTCCACCTTTATTTGTGAAGATGACAAATGACAGGAACAGTTGCAATTACTCAAGGACCAATTATGTAAAATTGGTTGTCCATGGCCCTTTGAGTAATAATGTTGTGGATTTGGAGCTCTTATCTGAAAATGATAGTGATGATATTTGTTTGTACGAAACAAAGAAAGAATATACGAAAGGAAAGGGTATTAAGCATACTTGGCGATTCATATTAATTGGCGAAAGCTTGAGCTTTGATATGTTTGTGTTTTCATTGTTTAAATGATTGTACAATAGCCTTAGTTTAGCTGTTTAGTTTACTTTCTCTTCGATTTTGAAAAGTTGAAGAATTTGAATTGGGAAATTAATATGAAAATTGCAGTTGCAGTTATGGGAATGAACTGTTGCAACGCTCTAAAGGAATTTGGCGTTGGTATCCAATAAAAGATTTTTAGATATTACCATTAACAGATTTGCATCTTCACAGAGAATCTTTTTTCAATATATGTTAAATAATACTGAGTCTATATTCAAATTAAATATTGAGTATTTCGAATTGAACAATTTCCAATGTTGTGTTATTAAGCTGTAGTGAAGTTAGGGATTATGTTTCAAATCACCAATGAAACAATTCCTCTCCTGCTCTAATGTTCCATTAGAAGAGAAATTACTGAATGGTGATATCCTATTTCAAAGAAGAATTGATGATGAAAAACGATATAAATTGAAGGAATGTTAGTGAAATGAGGTTCTAAATTTAGGATAATTTCAAATATTAAATTAATAAATAAATTGATTTAATTCCACACTAATTTTACATCCATGGAACGCATTGAGGAACATTTTCAACAATACCACCAACAAACAATCTCCAAAAATCAAGCAAAATTGTAACTAACATGCATGCGCCCAAACTTTCAACACAACATTTGAAAGTTGAGAACTTTTTCTTTGTTTCCTCTTCATCCATTCTATAATACATTGGGAAACCAACAATAAAGTAAATACCATAGACAATTGAACCAACTTTGTACATCATATCTCTATTCTTGAAAGTGTAATACTTGAAATATTGAATGGTATAAGTTTCCATAAAAGCAGTAAAGTAAGAGAAAGCCAAAATGAAAAGACAAATGAAAATGCTTCTAGAAGTTGATGGATTTCTCCATGCAGTATAAATAATTCTCAAAAGAACATTACTCAATGAGAAATAGAAAGTGAAATAAGCTTGAGTACATAAAAACATCAAATATGGAACATCATTAATACGATGAGTATCCATAGTATATGTTGCACCTAAAAGATTATAAAAGTAATGAGTCCAAAAGTAATTTCCAACAAAATTAAAGATGAAAACCCAAATATTAGCCTTGAACCAATATCTTTCAGTAATCGGAAGATTACGATCAGCCTTACCAGGGAATAATAATGGATATAAGAAACATGGAGTAGCCATAATTACACCATACATTGTCCATTCCATTCTTGATGCATTATCATAAATTTCAAAGTAAATTAAATAGAAAAAGTATGACATCCAAATTGGTCCGTAAATTAAAAAGAACTTTTCAGCCCAAGCTTTACTCTCATTTTGAGAGAAGAGTCGGATACCTCCTTCACTTGTTGTTGATGGTGATGACGATGATGATGAAGGCTTCGATGACATTGTTGTTTTTTTTCAAAGGTTATCTTTTGAATGTAATTTCGTTTACCGATCAAATGGCTATAGGATGAAGGACAACCGAGGACTTGAGTTTTTCAATGTCCTATCTATTTACTAGCACTGAAATGAATTATTAATCTAATCATAGCGTAAGTCTTAAATCATCAATGTCCGTTCCGAATTTAATTTTTTTTATTTTTTAATTTTATTTAATAAGAATCACACAAACCCCCTTTCCTTTCACAACAAGAAAGTTAAAAGTTATAAATCATGAAAAGATTATGTTCATCACTATCACATAGAAAAGTAATATAATTTGGCGCCAAAATTGCAAGAAGAACTGGCAAGCAAAAATTTCCTAAATTTAAATTAAAAAAAATACAATAACAAGAACATTGTTGTTGTAATAAATTTTGTTAATAGTATTACATTTATTTGATCAAAATGACGATTCAAGGATTGTCTAGTATGTTTTTTATTAATCATCAAGTGAATTAATTGTGGATTAATTTCATTACGGAATTTTTAATATTATTATTATCATCATGATTGTATAGGTTATTTATCTGAAAAAAACTTTATTAAAAAGGAATCTCTTGATGCTCTTCGTGGATGTAAAATAGGAATTGATGGATTTCATTGGTTGAAAGTTTTATATGATGAAAAACATGAACCTTTCCAAATGGCTACAGGAGGTACTCCTATTTCATTAGCTTTATTGGTTCAAACTAATTTAAAACAATTCAAGTAAGTATTTGATGAAGAAATAGTTTTCAAATATATTTAGGGATGCTGGAATTACACCAGTTTTTGTATTTAATGGTATTAATTGCGTAAAGAAGGAACGCTCAACAAGTATATATCAAGCTAGAACAGTTTCTTTGAAATCTGCTTGGGGTTCTTATGAAAAGGATCAAAAGAGAGAAGCCCTTATGTTATTCTCTAGAGGTTTGTATTAATATTAATTAATATTTAAAATTACACACTTTGTAAACAGCACAAGGAAATCAATTTTTGGCATCAATTGACACTCTTAATGCATTATTTGAATTGTTTAATGAAAATGATATCGAATTTTTGAGAGCACCATATTTAGCTTGGGGACAACTGTCATACATGTCTGATGCTAAATTGGTTAATGGTGTTATGGGAGATGAAGAATTATTAATGTTTGATATTCCTAAAGTTATTTTCTCACTTAATTTTGATGAAAAGACATTCCAATATGTGGAAAAGAAGACAATTCTTACACAAGAAAGAATTAGTAGCAATCAATTTTTGGATGCAGCTCTTCTTTCAGGAAGCTATTTTTTCAAAGGATTTTCTTCTCCTTCACCATTCCAAAATACTGTAAAGAAAGAGGATCGTTTCAAAACAGAAATTGATAATATCAAAGGAATTGGTTCAGCTAAAAGTATTCTTACAATGAATTCTCGTGAGGATCTTACAGTGCCTTTCTTGTTAAATAAGTATTTGATTATGCATCATCCAGTTTTGGATTTTATTGGAAATACAGTTGTTGTAATGAATAGAGATGCTCTTCCTAGAGACTTTGAAGAAATTGTTGGAGAAAGATTACCTGAAGAAATTTACTTTTTAATTTGTCATGGTATTTTATCACCACAATTGGTCGGAAATTTAGTGAATGGAGTATTTTATGAACCAAATCCTCTTTTTGATTCTTTGGAATATAAGGAATTTATCAACACTTGGAAACCTATTTATACATCATCATTGAACTATTTGACTAGTGAAATGAATGACTACTTTAAACACAAAAATGTTATGCTTGTTAGATATAACTCTTCAGATGAAAATTCTAACGACACAATTTATATAGAAAGAAAACCTGTAAATGTATTTATGGATGGCCTTCAATTCCAAATTAATGAAGCAAACATCACCAAATATCTTCAACAACAGAAAATTACATATACCAATAACTCTATGTCATTGGGCTTGGTATTGAATTTGAAACCAACACTTCTCAAGAAGAATCAAATGCAAAACTTTACCACACCAAATGAAGTTAAAACATTTATTCACTTGAAAGTTTTGGAAACTTTGGGATATATTAAGAAACCACAACAAGGATCATTAGACATCTTGTCCTCTAAAGGAAAGGTTTTATCTAATGCCAAGACTCATATAGAACAAACACTTGTGCTCGTTGAATTAGCCAAGATGAACATTCTTACTGCTTCTTGGACTTACGAAAAACCATACGCAGTTGAGGAAAAGATTGAAAATGAAGATGAAATATTGTTGATCACTAGAATTTTGAGTCTTGTTCCATTAACATTTAGACGTACATCATTGTCTAAGAGTGGTTGGACAGGATTAATCAAGTTAGATCTCGCTATTTACTATTCCATTGTTAAATTATTGCAAACAAATATTGCTCACTTGTATGAATCATTATTGACAGCAGTATACATGTCTCGTAGTATTTCATCTGAAAGTTTATCAGGTGTCATGTCTACTATGAGAGATATCACTGGTTTTTCTGTTGACCATAACAATATTATGGGTATTTTGGCTTATTACCTTTTGTCAACCCCAGAAGACAAACTCAGTCCAAAGAACTTTAAATCCATGTTCCTCTGTTGTCAAAATCCATATAAAGAATTCAGAGAAGTTGCAATCCCATTCTGGCAACAAAGTTATGCAGTTCTTAAGAAACTTACAACTACTGGAAATGAATTCAAAGCGCTAAGTCAAAGACTTGATAAGGCAAACGAATTATTCGAACAAAGAATTAACAAGATTGCTCCACAATTCGAAGCCTTATTGAGAGAATAATTCCATACTTATTTCTTTATTTACAAATTTTATATAGTGAGTGTGGTAGAATATTTTTTAACATTGTGAAATGAGTAGTAGCTAATAAATTAATAGATTTAGATGTTAAAAAATTATTGTCCACCAATTGTCTTGGAATTGGTCCATTCACAATCTACTTTATGATCCTTCATTTGAGGAGCAGATTCATAAATTGCTTCTACAGCTCTTCTCTTAAAATCAGAGTAATCTCCCTTAAATCCAATATATGAAATCCTTGTATTTTCAGCTCCAAAATTTGAAGGGAAGAAGAGAGTAATAGATTGGCAGTTATTGAACTTGCTTTGCTTTAACAAAAAGTCATAAGTTCCTTCAATATCAAAAGTTAAATCAAGCTCTTGATCAGCCTTCTTTTGTGTAGCAGTTTCAATATCTAATAATTCATTATTCTTGAATATTTTGACTTTGCTTGGACATGACTCATTGTCTCCTCCAATAATTTGAAAAGATTTTAAATTTGTTGAAACTGTAAAAGGAACAACAAGTAATAATTCCTCATCAACAGCACTTTCCAAATATCCATCTTTTGATTTTCTTTGATCGTATGGTCTAATAATTGATTGGCAAGCATTTAGTTTATGTTCATTCAAACAACGGACATGAATTTTATCAATATATGGATAGAGTGTTTGTTGAAATCCTTCTAATTCATTCTTATCATGTGCTCCGTGATCATGTTCGCAATGATGATCGTGTTCATGAAAATCTCCACTATGGGCTTCGGAACAACATCCTCCACTGTGATGATGATGGTGTTGGTGATGATCGTCTCCTGACATTTTTTTTTAATTCTAAAAATATTTTCCATATTCCATAAAAGAACAATACAACAAACATTGAAGCACTAAAAAGTTTAATTTACAAGTATTGAAATTTTGAGAGCCGAAAAGAAGACTTTTAATTTCTTGGGAATCTTACATCCATATCAGCAACTACATATAAGAAAGCACCCATTTGAGCAGCTGCCAAATCTAAATCATCAGTGTTAAGAACTGTCATTGTGTCAGCCTTAGAGTGATGGAACCAAAAGTATTTACTTCCTTCTACTTTAGGTGACATTACTGGAATACCAGCTACTTGATAAAGAGGATCAACATCAGCTCCACCACCATTATCTGTAACTTGTGTTGTGTTGATATTTGTGAATAATGTACTGGCAATTAGTTCAACAAGTTTTCTACCTTCCTCTCCTCCAGTAAATTCGAATCCAAGAGGTTTAAATGGTCCTGCATCTGATTCAATTGCAAGAATATGATCTTTGAGTTCCTTTTCATGCTCTTTGACATAACTCATACCACCAAAACGACCACCACCAAATTCTTCCTATTTTAAATTATTTAATCTTAATTAAATTTCAGATTACTTACAGCAGTGAAGGCAACCAATCGAATAGTTCTCTTTGGTCTCAATCCAAGTTTGATAAGTGTTTTCATACCTTCATAGAATGTCAAAATTCCTCCAATGTCATCCATAGGACAAGAATTCAAATCCCAAGAGTCCATATGTCCTCCCACAACAATAACTTCATTTGGATAGGTACTTCCAGTAATTTCACCAAGTGTATTGTAAGAGGTTAGAGGTGGAAGATTTTCACAATTGAGTTTCAATGACAGGACAACTCGTTGACCTCTCTTAATCATTCTTTCAATCATGTCAGCATCTTCTACAGTAATAGTGGCAGCTGGAATCCTCTTTTCATCGTCTTGGAAATTAGTTCCACCAGTGTGAGCTGAATAAATTGAGAATGGGGTCACACTTCTCACTAAACATGCAGCAGCTCCTCTTTTAGCAGCTTCTGCAGGTCCTCTAGTTCTAAAAATTACTGATTTACCATAAGTACCTTGCCAAGGAAGATTGAAAAGTACAATCTTTCCTCTAACATCATATTGATCCAATTCTTCATAACTCTTCAGCACAATAACTTCTGATTTTACTGAACCAGGAGGACTTGTACCTAATGCCAATACTTCCATACGTGGAATGTATCTAGGTTCATGCATGATTAATGATTCAGGTTCTCCTCTTCTCCAATGTGTAATATTATAAACAGGTTCAGTATGAACATTATCAAAACCATTGGCTTGCATTAGTTTGGCAAAATGTTTGCAAGTCAAATCAAAACCTTCAGTTCCAACCAATCTACTGCCATAAGTATCTGTTAAGAAGGCCAATAAATCATAGAGCTTTCCCTTTTCTTCTCCTTTGATGATGTGTTGGCAAATTTGATCAACTTTCTCCTTGTAATTATTCGGAAATGCATTGGTTGATATTTTAGTGGCTTCAACCATTGAATGATGATATTGATCAGTAGTAAATGATTGTAACATTGTAGCCACAAACAACACAACTCCAATCAACAAACCACCACTGCTAAGTAATTGTCGAGACATTTTTTAAATTGTTGGAAAATTGGGGCTGTATTTGGGTTGTAATTTACAGTGTTGAAATTGTTACTTTTTACAACAATTCAATTTGAACATGATCTTCAACCTCATTTCTCAATTAACTATTGAGCAATAATTGAAATTGAATTGCAAAAACTCCCCACAAAAATTGCAATTAAAAAAATGAATCAATCAAAGAAGGCTTCTTCAGCATTAAATCAATTGAGAAAAGTTGCTTCAAGCAATGACAAGTGTTTTTCCACTAGCTCCAAGTTGAACACTCACTATAATTCTATCAATCCAACTAACGGAAAGTTGACCAAACAATTTGAATGTCTTTCTGATCAACAATTGGAACAAGCTATTCAAGAAAGTTGGAAGTCATTCCAAGCTTGGAATCCACAATTATACTCAGGTAGGTTGTTTTAGATGGAGGACGTTTTTATATACTAGAGGTTTCGGAATTATTTTGTGATGACGATGATGGAATTTTGGATTTTAAATTGATGTGGAATTTGTGATGTGAATAATTTAAATTATCATCAACGACAAACAACAAATAATAATAATTAATAATAACGAAATTATTGTGGAATTAACAAAATAGAAAATCCAAAGGAAATTGCTGAATTAATTCAATGGCGTTCTCAAATCATGAATCCACTTGCTGATGCATTCGAAGCTCACAAGGAAGAATTAGCTAAAATGATGGCTTTGGATATGGGTAAACCAGTTGCTCAAGGTGTTGCTGAAGCTGAAAAGTGTGCATCTCTCATCAGATATTATGTCAAGACTTCTGAAAGTGTTTTGCGTGATAAGGTTGTTTTTGATAATGAAAAGATGTTCAGTAGAGTTGTCTACCAACCACTTGGACCAGTTCTTCAATGTGCCCCATTGTAAGTAGTTGTACTCTGTAATGTGAATGTGTTTATTTTCAATTTAATTAGCAATTTCCCATACTGGCAAGTTATTAGATTCTGTGTTCCTGCAATGATGGCTGGTAACACTGTTATGATTAGACACAATCACCAAGTTCCCACTTGTGCTAAATCAATTCAAGATTTATTTGAAGAAGCTCTTGCTAAAGCGTATGTAGTTCATTATAATTTTACAAAAAATGTTAACATCATTCTTAAAGTGGTGCTCCATCTGAATTGAACAAGATTTATCAAAATGTCTTCCTTGAAAATCAACAAGTTAGTACTACTATTAGTCACAATAAGATTCGTGGTGTTGCATTCACTGGTAGTACTCAAGTTGGTAAAATTATTGCCAGCCAAGCTGCTTCCAATCTTAAGAAGCACGTTTTGGAATTGGGAGGTGCTGATGCTTTCATTGTTCTTAAGGATGCCGATTTGGAACTTGCTGTCAAGAATGCTGTTGTTTCAAGAATTAACAATTGTGGACAAACTTGTATTGCTGCTAAGAGATTAATTGTTGAAAAGGAAGTTCTTCCACAATTTGAAAAAATGCTCGCTGAAAAGGTTAAGAGCTTAAAATTGGGTGATCCACTTGTTAGAGGTAATGATGTTGGTCCAATGGCCAGAAAAGATTTGATGGACAAATTGGATGATCAAGTTAAACTCTGTGTTAGTCAAGGTGCTAAGGTTTTGGCTGGTGGTTCTAAGGCTAGTTTGTCAGGTGAATTGAGCAATGGTTTCTTCTATCAACCAACTGTTTTGTCAAATGTTACAACTGATAATTTTGCATTCCATAATGAACTCTTTGGACCAGTTTTCGTTGTTGTTGCTGCTGAAAATGCTGATCATGCTGTTCAATTGGCTAATGAAAGCATCTATGGTCTTGGTGGTAGTGTTTATAGTAAGGATGTCAAGAAAGCTTCCAAGATTGCTGAAAAACTTGAATGTGGTATGGCCTTTGTTAATGGTGTTGTTAGATCAAGCCCAGAAATGCCATTCGGTGGTGTTAAGGAAAGTGGTTATGGTAGAGAATGTGGTTCTGAAGGTATTCTTGAATGGTGTAATGCCAAGACTATGGTTGTTGACAAACATTAAAGAATTTCAATTTTCTATTAAAATGTCACTTGCCTTTGACAAGGGGCAATTTTACCAAAAACAAATATCCAATTTGATATTTTAAAAAAATTTAAATTTATTTTTAAAATCTATTTGAGTTCCAAATAGCAGGTGTCGGAGTGGCAGAAAATAAACTTTGGATCACAACAGCTATCAACAAGCAAATTAATCCTTCAAGCCTTTTTAAAAAAAATTTTCATCATCCTCATCGGGAAGCATCAGTAGGCTTTTTGATTAAGTATCATCATCAAGAGTATTTAGGAAACTGGAGAACGCTTCTGTTTTACATTTGGAGTGTTGATAGTTAGAATTAATTACTATTGGAAATTTTTGGAGAGAATTTAGGCGTTTTAATTTATTTATTATTAATTTATATACACTACTAGTACAATCACCACCAATAACAACAACATGTTGAAAAAGAAATCTTTCCTTGGAGGTGGAAAGGAAAATGTTAAATTCCAATTTAATTTGTCTGTTGATCACCTCTTTGATTTTAAAAATTCAAGTTTATCTCGTCAACCAACACCTGATGAAGATGTGTTTTATGCAGTATGTTTTTTAAATAATCAAATGGAATTTCTTATATTTGTTTATAGGTTCATTGGAAGAGAGGTAAGAAACGTAAAGGTGAAACACCATACACCAAAATTGACAGAGAAAGAGTGACTTGGAATACTACTTTCAAGTTTAATGGTACACTTGTCAAAAAGAAGGGTGTTTTTCAAAAGAAGGATTTAGTACTTACTCTTGAGGAAAGAGTTACAAATAACAAAACACACCAATCAAAAGATACTGTTTTGGTAAAGGAGGAACTTGATCTTGGTCAATTTGTTAATGAAAGTGAGGAAGTTACACAAACAAAGGAACTCAGCTTGGTTATCCCAAAACCTGTCGGAAAAGCTAAACTTAAAATTGTCATCAATTCAAGATGCTTGAAAAATGTTCCCGGACTGTAAGTTTTTAAATTGAACAAATGATGATCAATATATTGGTTGATAGTGATGATGATTTTGATGGAGTTAGTACATATACAGGAGGAGATAATGGAGAAGAGGAAGATGAAGCCACTCACAATGTATGTTTACATATAGATTTTGGAAATTATAATATTTGTTTATTATTAACAGGATTATGGAACACCTAGAAATGGAGGTTCCTTCATACTCAGCAGAGGATCACTTGCTGAGGAAAATATTGTTGGAGAGTTACGTGAACAAATAGAATCCCTTCAGAAACGTATTAAAGAGCTTGAAGGGGATGACAAGACATCCATAGTATCTCAAATTGCAAAGGAAAGAGATGAACTCGAGGAAAAGTTGAGAATTATTCAGGAGGAAGCTAAAAATCTTAGGGAAGAATATGATCGTGCCCAAGAAGCCCAACAAGAGGCAGACAGCAAATTGTTTGAGATTCAACTCAAATCGAAACAAGCCCAACAAAAGTATGAACAACAAATCAAGCAAACAAAAGATAAGCTTGAAGAGGTAGGTTTCAACATTTTAACAATGTTTCTAATAATGTTAAAAGATGGAAGCAGAATCTGATACCTTGCAAGAACAAAAGGAAACACTTCAAAAACAAATTAAATCCTTGGAGGAAAGTATTGAAAACTTGAAACAGGAATCTTCCAGAAAGGATGACATTATTCAGGAAAATAATGCAGAGAAGGAAAAATCTAGTCGTGAGTATGAAGGTCGTATTGAGGAAATACAAGAGGAGGTTTCATCAGTTTCTCTAAAGTTGAAGGCATCAGAGGATAAATCTCATAATCTCGAAGAAAATGTTAAACAACTCAAGCATACAAATGAAGAGTTAAATTCAGAGCTCACAAGACTTAAGGTAAGTTTTAAAAAATATGGAAACACTATAATTCTTGAAGAAGCATTATGAAAGTGAAGCATCTTCAAAAGAAAAAGATATTGAGATTATCAGATCTGAACTTGAAAGCTTGAAGAAGTTGAAAGAAAAAGAAGATAACGAGAATCACGAATCTATTCAAAAGATTTTGAAGGAAAAATCAGAAATTACTACTCAACTTGAGAAGACTAATCATAATCTCCAAAAGACCAACAAGGAACATGAAATTTTGTTGTCATGTATTCAAGAATTCAACAAGCTGAAGAAGAAACTGGAAGAAGCTATGACTCAAGTGACTGAAGACAATGACTTCAAGAAGAAGATTAAAGAAGCCACCAAATTAAGTGACGAATTTATTAACCATAGCAAGAGTAACGAGTTTGAAAAGATTCATCCGGATCAAATTCAAGAAGAGTTGCATAAAATGACAGATCTTCTTCTTCTAAAGTTAAATGCAATCAAGCAAACCAATTTGGAGTTAGTTGAGTTTAACAGTAGAATTGATTCAGAATTAGATCAAGTCAAAAAGGATAAGGTTGAACTTGAAAGTGAAATCAAGTTACTGAATGAAAAAGTTACTCAACTCGAGAATGAAAAGAATCAACTTATTACTACTTCCTTGGCAAGTCAAGAAAGTTTATCACAAGAACTGATGAACAATATTAAGCAAAAAGAGCAACAACTTGATGAGGCAAATAGAGAGAAGGAAAGACTCAACAATGAGGTTAAGCAAATGTCTGAAAAGATTTCAAGTCTTGAATCAAACCTTTCTGACGTTTCTGAAAAGGAATCCAATCTTAGAAAGGAGTTAAAGACCAGAGAGAGCGAGATTGAAGCCGAAACTAAAGCAAAAGTTGATTTGCAAGATAAGGTTTCTTCTTTAACTCAACAAATTTCATCGTTAGAAGCTACTATTTCCAGTCTAAATGAAAACAAAGACAATCAAGAAAAGGAGTATAACACCCTTTCCCAAAAATATGAAGATCTTGTTAATCAGAACAATACAACTATTGAACAGCATTCCACCGAGAAGCTATCTTTAGAAAAGCAATTACAAGATACACAACAAGAACTTGTAAATATTAATAAGACATTGGAACAAACTCGTGATGAAAAAGAAAAATCTCTTAATGAGATTGAATCGATTAAGAAGCAACTTAAAGATTTGCAAGATCAAAATCTTAATGATTCTGAAACAAAGGATTCGCTGTATATTAACCTTCAAAATGAAATGAATAGAACTAAGGAAGTTCTTTCTCAAACCGAAAAGGAGAAAGAAACATTCTTCAAAGAATTGTCAGAACATAAGGAAAAGCTGAATAACTTGTTGCAAGAATATGAATCATTGAAGGTGCAAAATGGGTCATTAGATGAGAAACTTTCCAAAGTCAGTCAGGAAGTCGAATCTGTTAGAAAACAAAATGAAGAGCTTGAATCTCAAATTGAGGATTTCAAGCAAAAATCAGATGACCTCGAGAAAACAATAACTTCTCTCAATTCCACTATCGAGGAACTAAAACAAAATCTCACCGAATCACAACAAAAGGTCTCTGAACTTAACGATGAAAAGAAAAACCTAGCAACGGAATTGGTAGAAATCAAATCCAGAGTTACTACCCTTGAAGAATCTCTGAAGAGTGAACAAGAAAAATCTGCACAAGTTTCCAAATCGCTACAGGACAAGGAACAAGAACTCGAAGGTACTGTCCAAGAAAGAGATACTTTCAAGGTTGATCTCGAAAGAGCCTTGTCCAATATTTCCAATTTAGAAGAGCAATTAAAACTTATTACAAGTGATAAAGAAAATACATCATCAGAGGTTTCAGGATTGCTGCAAAGAATTGAAAAGATTCAAAAAGAAAAGAACGACATTGAAGATTTATTGACAAAGGAGAGAAAAGAACTTTCTGCAACTATTCAACAAAAGGAACAAGAACTTTCTAAAGAAATTAGTGCTCATGAACAATTGGATAAACAAGTATTAGAATACAAACAAAAGTTGGAAGAAACAAGCCAAAGTTTAGAAAGAACTAAGGATGAATTGGAAAGATTGGGTCAAGGCTCTGATACTCTTTCTAGTCAAATTAGTGAATTACTTTCCGAAAAGAATCAACTTGCTGACAAACTGCAACAATTGGAGGAAGCAAAGAAGCAGCTAGAAGATCAACTCGCTGAGTCTACTTCACAATTGCAAACCTCAGCAGGTAGAATTTCAGAACTCGAATCTCTCTCAAGTGATGCAGACAAGAAGTTGACAGACCTGACAAACCTTATTGAAGAAAAGACTAGAGAACTAGAAAAACATATCTCTGAGAAGTCCAAGCTTTCAGAGAAAATTAAGGAGAATGAAGTGGAAATTATTTCACTAAACAAACAAGTTGAAACCCTTACTCAAGAGAAGAACAGTCTTCTTTCTAGCTCTGATCTTAAGGAAGGTTCCTTGTTGAAAGAGTTGGAAGAAACCAAAGAGAAATTGAAACACGTAAAGGAAGAAAACAATACTCTTTCCGAAGAGCTTTCTCAAACAAAATCCGACAAGCAAACTCTTGGAGAGAAGATTATTATCGTTGAACAAGAAAATACCAAGAAACAAGAAACGATAGTTTTACTAGAGACTAAGATTGAAGAATTAGAAGAGTCCTTAAAGTTACTAAGAGAATCTTCCTCACAAGAAAAGGAATCTTTATCTAATAGTATCGCTCAACGTGAGGAAAGAATGAACGAAATAGAAAAGGATCTCAAGATCAATCAAGAAAAACTCGCCCAAGCCCTCGACCACCATACTACCCTGGATGACCAAATTGAAAAGTTGAAACAAGAAATTTCAGAACTCAGAGAGCAACTTGGAACCATAAGAGAAGAGAAAGATACAACTGTAGACAAGCTCAATAACATGCTAGAACAAATGCAAAACAAAGATACTGAGATTAATGAGCTTAGAACTTCAAATAGTGCTCTTGAAACGGAATTGGAGAATATCAAGAATGCTCGTAGCGAGCTCGAACAAGAGCTTGAATCCTTGGAGCAAGAAAAAGAAAAAGCTGACTTGGAAATTCTTGAATTTACCAAGAAATTAAGAACAAGCTCCTCAGAATTGGAAGAACTCCAAAAGAAACACT